TGTCTAGCAAAATTATACTTTAAGACAGTACCAACTCACCTCCTTGGGCCAGGTGGCACTCCACATGAGCGTCTGCCTGTCGGGCCGGATCTGCTCCACAATCTTCCTGATCTGCGGCTCGAAACCCATGTCCAGCATCCGGTCAGCCTCGTCGAGCACCAGGTAGGTGCAGCGACGCAGGTTGGTCTTGCCCATCTCCAGAAAGTCAATCAGCCGGCCGGGCGTGGCGATGCAGATCTCCACACCTCGCTCCAGATCCCGGAGCTGGGCGCCCTTGGGTGCTCCTCCGTACACACAGGTATGCCTCAGTTTGGAGGAGCGGCCGAACTCGTTGGCCACCTCGGAGATCTGTTGGGCCAGTTCACGGGTGGGAGCCAGGATGAGCGCGATGGGGCCGTCGCCAGGACGCAGGTAGTCCTGGTGGTTGATGTGGATGATGGCGGGCAGCATGTAGCCGAGTGTTTTGCCAGAGCCGGTCTGGGCGATGCCGACCATGTCGCGGCCGGACAGGGCGATCGGCCAGCCCTGCGCCTGGATAGGAGTCGGGTTCTGGAAACCGTTCTTCCTGGAAACGGGAAACGGTCGGCGTGAGGTAAATACGCAAACCGGTTATAAGAAAAATAGGGACGTCCAGTCATCACTCTTCCTCGTAGATGACCGGATAATTTTGCCAGCTAGCTTACAATACTATCAAATACCAGGAACATGAAGGTGACACTACTGTGCAGTGTAAAGATTAGACTGTGCCCAGTGCATGAATCAGGTCTGATAGCTGCACAGCCTGGGATCGTATTGGATCAACATGATGTCGCCACGGTTGATTAGGATTACCGGTCTAGCGCGACAGACTCCTTGCCCAACCATGGCCAGAGGACGGCACATCCACATTAGCTGACAGTGCACTATAACTGCACTTTAAAACTCCAGGCCTTCCCCCTCCTTTCATGTCTTTCAAGTCTGTCTTGCACCCCAGAAGGCTAAGAACTATCAACCCACGCCAACTCACTTGATGGTGCTGAGGATGTAGTCCGGCATGGTGCAGTCGCTGAACTCCAGCATCGGTGAGGGCACGGACGAACCGCGCACCGTCACCTCTTTGCTGGCGCGGTAGGCCTCGATCTCAGACTGGCTGCGGGCCTGCACCTGAGGCAGCGGCTGGTAAAAGTCCTTCTGAATGGGCGTCAGCTTGATGGACGACCAGTCGGGGCGGCGCAGGTTGCCGCCCGGCTGGCTGCTCTTCATGCCCATGCGGCCGCCGCCGAACCCGCCGCCGTAACTGCCGTAGCTGCTGCCGTACCTGCCGGAGAAGGGGGACGGTAAGGGCCCCGGCGCTGGTCGGTGGAGTGGAGATGGGGTGTGGATGATTTGGAAAGCTGTAGACAATGGTAGTTTCATGAAGTGAAGGGGATACGTAGATCGTTTGTTCATTGGGGCTTTAGGGCGCGCCGACTATAAGGTCATTTTGCGCCCATGGATATGTAGACCAAATACTTCTTGATGGCCAACAAGGTAAGTCAAAAAACTCAAATGGACTTGATGTGGTAAGGCAAAATGAGGTCATATTTCCCGAATCAAAAATTAACTGTGCTAGTTTTTTTCATCAATAAAACTTAAAAGGGCTTATTACTGGTGGAAAGGTGAATAGAAATTATGTATAAGCAATTACCACTTGATGCAAATTTCTCATGGATGTCTTTGTTTGCAGTAACTTACAATAATTTCTGCATTCAGGAACCATACTGGACTATTGCATGGTAGTTATAGCATCAATAAAGCATTTGATATACGACAGGTGGTACGGAATTACTGCGGACGAACACCGCTATAATTGCGGGATTTTCTTTGCTTGTGATTTAAGTGTTAGCACCCCTGGCTACTGGCCAATGCTGGGGAACATCAAACATTTCCCAAGCTCTGTTGTCAACTTTGCTTTTTATACTGTACGTGTTTGTTATAAAATTGCATGTTGTTTCCTACTCATATTGTGGCTAGCGAGTACATTACTTTTATCAATCAACGGCTCTCTTGAGCCAGCCTGGGGCGGCCCGCCCCCAGCTATCCGGACTTGTATTGCCTGGAGCTTATCAGCACCGTAATTCTAGTCTTTGAAGTGCCCAAGATTCACATAAGACATTAACCCCTATGTGGGCCTGATGAAATACGGGCTCTTGATGAAATAAAGGGCACCCCCAGTAGATTAGATGCTGTAGAACCGGAGCTAAGAGCTAGCGTACGGCCACCAAAAACCTGTCAATCTTAAACCATCACAGCATCAAAGAAGAGACTTCCACAGTAAGCTGGAGCTGCCATAGCCAGCACTGTGGTCAAGAACGACGGTGTTTCTAGTCCGTAACACTTATCTCCGATCGGAGACATTTCCCGGCTGGAGACGCTGGTTGGGATTTGAAAGGTGCGACCGCAGCAATTTACACTGAAATGATGCTTGTTTGTTTGTTTGTTGGAGGTTAGGGGCGCACCGACTGCCAGGTCATTTAGCGCCCATCCAGTGAAATGATGGTAATATGACACTGCTTGAACAGTGTTGAGGAGCTCGTTGATTGTCAGCCATTCAAACACAATCCTTGTCATTGAATTTGCCAATACATCCACATGCCAATACATGCCAGTGGATGTACATGCCAATACATCCACTGCAGCTGAAATAACAATTTTTGGTCTTCCTTCACATTGCCATTAGACTGAAAACTGTAGTTCACTTCTCCAACAATGCTTTCAAAGGCTTGACATGAATTAGACATAACTCCATGAATTGCAATACATTACTTTTCCAATACCAAATATCTTGCTTTTCTGCTCATTAAAAGCCATAAATGAACCATTTGATCAAGGCTAATAAATAATTTATGTTTCAAGTGAAAAGCAAGGACAACCACCAATATTTTTCATACTGCAATGATGTTCCTCTATCATTTTCTATTTGATTTCCTATCTCTACTGTTCCACCATTTTTAAAAGTAATTAAAAGACAATTACAATGGTGACAACAAGCATGGCAGCCAACTCATCTTCATCAGAAGAGGAGGAGGCGCCTCTTGAGTAAAGGGTCTTATTACTCGAAAGGGTATCTAATGACCTTTACTTAAGGTAAATACTTAAGGTAAGGTAAATACAATAGATGTTAGTCTAGCATTGACAAATTTCAAATGTTATTTACTTTGTCTTGCACAGCATGGAGACAAGTTTCCCCTCAAGTGACACATTTTGAAGTATTCTTCCCATTTGTAAGCCTCTCCTGTGAAGAGACAAATTTACAATGAGACCCTATCCTTTCAAATGAAAATCCTCTAGACATAAATATACAATTTATTTTTAAATATTTCCATTAGCATTTTTCTGTTTCCAATATTGACAAATTTTTAACAGTATTTTTGCAGTACTGCCACTCTTTCCATGCAACTTGTGTCCTTGGTTTAAGGCTTATGCATACACCTCCACCTTCCTCATGTAAAAATAAAAAACTTGAAAAATTTATACTTGAATTCAATCATAAGAATTTTCAAAAAGGAAAAAAGTGATAATACAGAGCCAGAGGCCAGAGGGGAGTTAGCAATTAGCACAGCAGTGTGATAAATCAATACGAAAGTTATACTTACATAGTGAGTTCCTTAGGTGTCTGAAGTTTCTTGGAATAATAGTTCTCTTTTCACTTGTTGATCTGAAAAGAATAAGATACCTTCAGCATTTGACAAAGATGACCTAACGATAATGAGATAAAATGTCTTTAACATGTCAATATCACTACAAATCAAATACTGACTACCTTTTTACTCATGCAGTTTAATGTGGTGCAACTATGGTGACCTTGAGTGCCAGAATAAGCACCTAAGGTGTCTAACGGCAGCCTGGTAGTTGATGTCCGAACAACTTAGCACCCAAATGCTACTGTTCTCAATTGGGTGACTCTGTGCTCGTTTGTGAAAGAGAACAATTGAAAAAAAATATTGTGTATTACATAGATGACCTTCACAAAATAGCCATTCCTAGTTCAAGTCTGATAAGGATATCAGGAAATTATCATTCTGAGGTCATTCCACCAGAAACACTTCTCGAGAGGCCGTTCTTTATGAACTTATTCATTACTGCCCGAAAAAGTTCAATCAAATTACGCACCAGCACCAGTCGGGCACACTGTGGTATTTCCGATCCATTTATGGAAACGTTTCCATTTTTGGAACAATGTTCCAAAAATGGATACGCCGTTTCCAAAAATAGAAATGGTCTGTTCCATACATGGAGACGCTGTGTGCATCGCTACCTTTAAAGCAAACTGGGCATTGATTGGTGCAATTTGGCATGCGCAGGATGCCACCAATCGACAGCCAGCATTCTAGTTTATGTTCCTGTTCTCCGACTTTCCGATCAGAAAACCGAAAGTTGACGAACGAGGCGATGCTTATAACATGTTGACGTGATAAAAAATTCACATGTTTTTCTGATCGAAAATAATAACGTTTATGAATGTTTTGAACAAAAACTAACGTTTTTAACAGACTACTGAAAGACTGGCCCATTGATTGGAACAACCACATCACCGGGAACTTCAGTTTTTCATTCATTTTCACGCTGCATTTTCCGGTGCACCAGCGGCCTGGTGGTCGTCAATCTGTGATTAAATCGCATGAAAGTTGTTGCAAAGCCCCATTTGGAGACTTGAGTGGGCATTTTATGATATTTCAAATGTGCTGAATATGATGGCAGGCTCGGATCAACGTAAATCTCCGTGCAAATACGTAAAAAGCAGGATGGAAATAAGGTCTGCACCGTCGTCACACCAAATGCCGTTGTATTCTGACGGTGAATCTATTCATTCTAGCTCATGTGTAACATTGATATCAATTTTATATATTGAAATGATATCTACGCTTTATGTATTGCCCACTTTGGACCACATCTGTCCAGTAGTTTCTGGGAAATCTTAGTTTTAGTTGACTTTTGAATGCGCTAAAGTTGCGGCGCGTAATGTATTATTATCGAACCCGATGTCCAAGGTAACTGCCGAGAGCCGAGATGCTAAACCAGTCCCAAAACATCAAATTTTTAGTTGCATGTGAATTTTAAAAACACATTTAAGCTAAGTTTGCACACATTTGAACTTCAGCGTTTCTATTTTTGGAACATCGGCGTTTCCATTTTTGGAAACTAAGTCTCCATAAATGGATACGATTCAGGAGCATTTTAAAGACGTGAATTTGAATGCATACGACAGCTTTCCATGCAAGAAGACAAGTGCTTTTGGTGTATCTGAGCTTGTTCTACGCGAAACAGTTGTTATACATCAAATCCAGCCACCCTTGGCAAGAAAATATGTGCGGAGATGTTAGCGTTTCTATTTATGGAACGAGCGTTTCCATTTTTGGAACAGAAGAGTAGTCAAAATTGGAAACGTTTCCAATAATAGAAACGTCTCCATAAATGAATCGGAGATACCACAGTGCGCCCGACTGGCACGCGGCGAAAGCGCCAGTGCGTGTAGACATCTTAAATCGAAGAATACTTACCTGGAGAACGTTTCGTGGTGCTCGGGTACTTGTTCAGTCGAACTTTATAAAACAGAACCAATTGTGTCACAATTCAACGATTACTTATTGGTTAAATTGAAAATGCAAGGCACCCGGAGTCTGACAACCTTCCCTGCGGAGGAACTCACCGGAAAGACCGTATCGCCGTAGAGCACCATATAACAAAATTTAGGAAGGCCTGTTCTTGATTTTATTTTGTCTGTCATAGTCTAATTTAGGGTCTAATTTATTTTGAAAAACAATTTATTTTATCTGCAAATAACAAATAAGTGAAAACTTCCATTGTGTCAAAACAAAAAATGAAAATAAATCAATGACAGCACTATCATACCCGGAAACACATCCACGGGGTGTATGCTAAGGAATATAGTGTTTATATTTTTGTCCCAATATTATGCATTCAGAATCTTTTTCACTTTCAGACGTTGTATAATTGTTGCATATCTCTCGAAGTATTGAAATAGATGCATCTAATTCTATTAGACGTTGAAAGTGCATTGTAGGGTCCATTCGTCATAGCGGACGTCACGTTCCCAGAACGTGATCAGAGCGTCAAGGTTATTACGTAATGGTCAAAATTGGTGTGCTTGAGCATAGTAGATAACGAATGTTAATGCATCCTATTCTCACTTTCATCATTTACATAAGCATGAATCCCTGGGGCCTGCAGGGCAACGGCAGGGGTAGAGATCTGTCAAAATGTCGGGGGGGGGGGGGGTCCAGGCCGGGCAGATGGAGGCGGCCTGGATGCAGTACCATTGACTTACATAGCAGTAATTCGTTTTCAGGGGGGTCCCGGGACGTTCAGCAGCTGGGCGCCCAACTGTCCAGTGCGCGCGTGGCGGAGGAACCGGGAGCGGACGCGGCGAGCACCGCTGTCAACACGGTGAGGACGCCTCAGCCACGACGCGGGCCCTGTTTCCGGTGCGGGTCGACCGGACATTGGCAGCGCGACTGTCCAGCGGCCGGAACCGTGCCGCGTGCACGCGACAGCCACCGTGCGCGCGACAGCCACCGTCCGGCTGGCCAAGCGGCCAGCGGCGGGCGCGTAGGAACGACCGGCGCACGAGGTCAGGCTGGCACGCCGGACAGGAAGAGCAGTGACGGCCCGGTCAGGCAGCGGCGGTGCTTTAAGTGTGGCTCCACCGGGCACCTGAAGGCGGCATGTCCGCAGCGGCGGGTGCGGCTGGTGGCTGCGGAGGAGGAGCAGACGGACGGCGACGGCGACGCGTGGCTGGTGAACACAGTCGAAGCCAGCGCCGCGGAGCCGAAAATGAAGACGGTGACGGTGAACGGCCAGCAGCTGGCCATGGTCGTGGACACGGGGAGCCCGGTGTCGCTGGTGAGCGCGGAGACAGCGCGGCAGCTGGGACTTCTGCAGCTGCTGGACCCATGTGACCTGCGCCTGACCTCGTTCACAGGTCAGGTCATTCCCTTGAGAGGGGAGGTGCTGGTCAGCGTCACGGCGTCGGACAGATCCGCGACCCGTCTGCGGCTGGTGGTGACCGGTTTTGGGCCCCACCGCCCGCTGATGGGACGCGAGTGGCTGCAGGCGCTTGATCTGATGACGTCACCGGCTCGGGTATGCCGCGTGCAGCCGGCGCGGACGCTCGAAGGCGTGCTGGAGAGGCACTCGGCGGTCTTCAACGAGGAGCTGGGACGCATCCCGATCAAGGTGGGACTGCGGCTGAAGTCGGACGCCAAGCCGGTGTACCGACGGGCGCGTCCGGTGCCGTTCGCCCTGCAGGAGGCGGTGGACCGCGAACTGGACCGGTGGGAGGAGCAGGGCGTGGCAGAGAAGGTGCCACCAGGGAGCGGCTGGGGGACACCGCTGGTGGTCATCCCGACGCGGAATGGCGTCCGCATCTGCGCAGACTACAGGCTGACTGTCAACCCTCAGCTGGAGCAGACCAAGTACCCGATGCGAACAGCAGATGAGCTGTTCTCCGGCGTCCGGGGGAAACGGTTTGCAAAGCTGGACTGCAGGAGCGCCTATCTGCAGGTGGAATTGGACGAGAACAGCAAGAATGCTACCACGGTGACGACACACAGAGGCGATTACAGGATGAACAGACTGCCGTATGGCATCTCTGTCTGTGGGGCACTGTACCAGTCCGTGATGGATCAGATCACGGCGGGACTGCCCGGCACTGTCAGCTACATGGACGATGTGCTGGTGTGGGCTGACACGGAGGAGGAGCTGCTGGAACGGCTGGACGCGACCCTGACTAGGATGGAGGAGAACGGCATCCGCCTGAGGCGAGAGAAGTGCAGCTTCAATGTGCCGGAGGTGACCTACCTCGGGTGGCGTCTGTCGGCGGACGCGCTCCGTCCGCTGGCAGGGAAGACGGAGTCGATCCTGCAGGCGCCAGACCCGGTGAACCAGCAGGCGCTGAAGTCGCTGATCGGCACGGTGAGCTACTATCAGCGGATCCTGCCGGGACTGGCTACCGTACTGACACCTCTGTATGCGCTGCTAAAGAAAGGAGTGAAGTGGCAGTGGACGGAGCAGTGCGCGGCGGCAGTGAAGAAGGTGAAGACAATGCTGTCATCAGCCCCAGTGCTGGTGCGGTTCGATCCTGACCGACCGGTGCGGCTGGTGACGGACGCCAGTGAGACGGGACTCGGCGCGGTACTGATGCAGGTGACGGCTGATGGACTGGAGAAGCCGGTACAGTACGCGTCTCGTACTCTAACGCAGACTGAGCGGAAGTACGCGCAGGTAGAGAAGGAAGCTGCGGCCGTGTCATTCGGAATACGGCGCTTCCACCAGTACCTGATGGGCAGGCGGTTCACCCTGGTAGTGGACAACCGCACGCTGTCGCGGATCGTCAGCCCGGACAGGGATCTGCCCACCCTCGCGGCAGCTCGTATGCAGCGGTACGCGCTTCAGCTGGCGGCGTATCAGTATGAAGTGGAGCTGCGGCGCTCCGGAGACATGAGAGCGGCGGACACGCTGTCCCGTCTGCCGGTGAGCAGTCCGGCGGAGGAGCGGGAGGCGGCGGAGGAAGAGGCTGAGTACGGCGGAGGAGGCGTCATGTTCGTCGTGCAGGAGCAGGGACCATGCCTCTCGGCCAGGGCCATCGCAGCGGCCACGCGCACGGATCCGGTGCTGGGTCGCGTACTGGCTGCGGTGCGGTCCGGCTGGCCGGGGACGGTGGACGCCGAGCTGACGCCGTACAAGCATAGAGCGGACGAGCTGTCGACGGACGCCGACTGTGTGCTCTGGGGCGGCCGTGTGGTGGTGCCGAGGGCTTTGCAAGATCGTGTGAAGCAGCAGCTACACGAGGGGCACAGCGGCTGCACAAAGATGAAGCAACTTGCCCGTCGGTTTGTCTGGTGGCCGGGGCTGGACGCTGAACTGGAGGCGCTCGCTCGGGGCTGTCCAGCCTGCGAGTCGAAGCGAGCGGCGCCGCCGCACGAGGAGCGGCACCCCTGGGAACCCGCTCAAGGACCCTGGCAGCGGGTGCATGCCGATTTTGCCGGACCTCTGAAGGGCACCTGGTTCCTGGTGATGGTGGATAGTTTCTCCAAGTGGGCTGAAATGATCCCAATGAAGACGACCACGTCCGAGCGGACCGTAGCGGTGATGAGGACGGTTTTTGCTCGTCTCGGACTACCGCTGGTGCTGGTAACGGACAATGGCCCACAGTTCACGAGCCAGGAATTCGCCCAGTTCGCCAGCTCTAACGGGATCCGATATGTCAGAGTGGCGCCCCATCACCCATCGTCTAATGGGATGGCGGAGCGAACGGTCGGCTCGCTAAAAAACTCACTGAAGGCGACTCTGGCAGCAGACGACAGCGGAGGCATGGAACTGGCGCTCGCCCGAGTTCTGATGGCGTACAGGACCACACCGCATGCCAGCACGGGACGGACCCCAGCGGAGGTGCTGTTGGGCCGTAACATCCGCACGCGGCTGAATCTGCTCGTTCCGACCGCCGAGGACGCGCTGCGGGACAGCGCGGAGCGACAGCAGACGGCAGCCGGTGGACGCGCCAGAGCGTTTGCGGTCGGCGCCGACGTCTGGGTTCGCTGCTACTCCGGGCCACAGAAGTGGGTGCGCGGTCGGATCGTCACACGCACTGGGCCCGTTTCCTACGAAGTCGACGTCGGTAGAGGCGGGTTGTGGTCACGGCACTGTGATCAGCTGTTGTCGGCCGCCGCTGACAGCACGGCGCCTGCCGAGGACCGCGGCAGAGCGGACGCGGCAGCACTCGCGTCCGATCGCTACTGGCCGCCCTCCGTCGGTCGAGACGGAGGGGAGGGCAGCGGCGTCAGCAGCAGCGGCGCGATCAGCCGGAGCAACGGTGCTTCTCAGCCGGAGCGGGCTCGCGTGATCGGCGCTGGAGCGGAGCGGCCTTCCGGCACAGCAGCCGAGAGGCCGGCGGGAGCCGCAGCGTCGGACTCAGCTGAGGCCAGAGCTGCAGCGGGCACGGACGGCGCCGCAGCCGGGGGGTCAGCCGGCGCCGGGGCGGCACACTGAACCGGTGCCGCGCCCGCAGCGGACAGCGCCGGTGGGTCCCGGGACGGAACGGCGGCAGAGGAGCCCAGCCGCGGACCGACCCGAGATGGGACGACAGCAGAGCGCGCGGCGCTGAACGAGTCGGCCGCGGCGCGGCCTGGGGTGACGGCGGGACCAGCGGGTCGAGCGGAGCGCCACGCTGAGTTAACTGTGCCGCGTCACTCGACGCGCCGAGCGGCTCCACCGAGGCGCTACATTGAAGAACTGTAACGTGTGTTCGATTCGATTCGATTCTCGATTGTTCGATTCGCGTCTTTGTTCGATTCGCGTCTTTCTGTCCTGTCCTGTTAGACTGGAGACCGCCGGAGATCACGCGTTCATTGTGTTTATGTTTCATAATCATATCTTTGGCGGTTAGATCGGTGTTGGTGATCTAGTGACGGGGGGTGAGGTGTGGTGTCGTGATACTGGCCCTCCCCCCCCCGGAAGCGGAGCTGAGCGCGCCCTTGCGGCGCCCAGCCGCCGCCGATCAGCCGGCTGGCCTTGAAAGTCAGTCGCCGGCCGCCGGCCGCGGAAGCGGGTGTGCGAGTACGACCACGCGTTGATAGAATACAGACTGCCCGTTGAGTCCCTAGTGAAGTGTGATGTATTATCCCCGAACGTGGAGTCTGGACATAGCTAACACACGGCACAACACGAGCGCCCACGGACACGTCACGCCATGGTCGTCACTCTCAGCCAACTGCTAGTCAGCTGGCCGTTCCAGAGGCTCTCAACGCTGGTAGAGCGGCTACGGTACAACACCCTCCGCCCCTATAACATAACATGAACATTTAAACCAACGAAAATAGCTGTTAGCAAACATTTAGACAAACGAAGCTAGCTGCTAGCACTTCCTGGCTAAAACAAACGCCGGCTTGGCATGGACAGCTCCCGCCAGCTCTACCGGTATCTGATCGGCACGTTTATGGTCCGTTTTGACCGGCGCAGAGGCTCGGTCGGCTCAGGCCGCTCGTTTTGAGCCGCTCCGGCCTCCGCCTCGTGCTCTGGCTCGTTCTCTCTCTCCTCCTCCTCTCCTCTCTCTCCCTGCTCCGGCTCGTTCGCACTGTCCTCCTCCTCTCCTCTCTCTTCCTGTCCTCCCTCTCCTCTCCCGCCGTCTCGGAGGTAGCCCCCACCGGGTGGGTGCTGACGCTCCCGCGAGAAAGATGCGGGATTCGCCGGGAGCTGATACTGCTGCTGTTGTGCTGCTGCCGGTTCTGTCGCCTGCTGCTGTGCTTGGCCGGCGGCGGGGAGCAGCTGGTCGGCGTGGCGCGCCCCCACGGCCCCACCGACGTCCACCTGATACGATACGGGGCCCGTGACGCCGATCACCTGGCCGCGTCGCCAGCACTGAGGTCCAGCATACGTCCGCGCCCACACGGCCTGACCGACCTGAAACTCGCGCGGGCGTCCCCCGGCCGCTTCTCTCTGGTCCTGCTGGCTGTCCGTTACGTCACGAATGATGCTGGGGTGCAGACGGTCCAGCCTGGTGCGGATCGGGCGTCCGAACATTACCTCCGCCGGCGGCCGACCTGTGACCGCGTGTGGAGCTGTCCGGTACGCGATCAGCACCTTCTGCACACGTTGATGCAGCGAGCCGCCGTCCCGTGCGGTCGCTCGGAGCCCGCTCTTCAACACACCGACAGCTCGCTCGGCCGCGCCGTTACTGGCTGGGTGGTACGGCGCCGTGCGGATGTGCCGAACGCCGTTGTTGGAGAGGAAGATCCCAAACTCCGTCGACGTGAACTGAGGTCCGTTATCGGTTACGACTTGGTCTGGGATTCCGAATCGCGCAAACAGCTCCCTGAGCTCCTCAACGGTCCGCCCGGCGGACGTCGTTGTCATGATGATGGCCTCCACCCACTTGGTGTGACTATCGCACACCACCAGGGCTGGGAAATCTCTCATACTTTCATACCCCAGTAGGTAGCAGATATCGCTTTATTGTTCCATCAATTGTAGCAAAATCAACATTTCTCTCTTCCGTACATCATAAAGAAAAATACAATAATAACATCAAAATTCGCACATTTTTTAAATAGAGGTAGCACCAGTCAGTGATCTCGTCGGCGAATAAGAACAAAACATCTGTAAGACCAACACAAGTTCAAAACGTCAGCTTTGTGCTCCATTTTATGACGAATCTGGCGGCTCTTTGTAGCAGTTTCCATTGTAGCGATCACTAATTCTTCATTCTCTGAGTCGTGTAGCTAAAGGTATCTGCTACGCCTTTTTATGCGCTATCTATCTTATGAATATTGCAAAAAGGAATTTCATTATTTGTAAAATATTCCAATGACATATTTACAAAACAAAACAAGTTGTCTTAAAAACGGCATTGTTCAATGATCAATAAAAATACGAAAAGAATCAACTCATTTTGCCCATGGCAGCTCTAAAAAGCCATCTTTTATGAAACAGGGTCCTGCAACGTCTTTAATCCTTTTTGATGACGTCATACACAATTTCATTCAGTTTCTTATGTATTTTCTGTTGAAATCATACTTATTTGAACAAAATTAGGATTTTGAGAGACTAGTTAACATTTTTTGTATGTTTTATTAAGAACTCTTAACAAAAATATACAAATTACATCATTGCTGTTTGCGTATTTTGTTGATGCATTGTTTCTGGCGCATTACAGACAATTCTAGTTGTCGTTTCGCGTGTGTAGCTTGATGAGCGGTCCTGGCTGTTTTTGCATTATTTCAGCTATTTTAGCTTTCATTTTGCCTCTATTTTAGGGAAGTGGGATATTCCAGGCCTAATTTCAAGCGTTGTAATGACAACTGTCCCTATAGCGGCGTGCAGTACACAGTTAAAGAGCAAGGTAGCCGCCCAGCACGCAAAGCAAGATGTGAAGATATAGGGAGATAGGTACCTATGATCGAATTTGCGCAGGTGAGATCTGGTTGAAATATTAATCAAGTAACGCCCAGAAAAGAATTTTTTATTTACTTCTTTACATGTTCAATTATTGTATTAACTCTAAACCTTAATTGGTGGCAACTGGCAACTTTTGTACAGCGGGTTCGGCATGCACAATGATTGTAAATTGTTGACCAGACTGAGCAGCCAAATCAACCTGATTTCTTTCAAATACTTCCTGCCTGAGTAGGCTGATACCATCTGAATCCTGAAGTTGCTAGAATGCTGATAGGAAAATTCTATGGCTCACTGGAGCTTCCTGGTGCTCACAGGTGGTGCTGTAACAGACGTAACTTGCCCTGAGAAAGCCCTACAGCACCTTAGTTTGATATTTGTATGCTTTTTCGAAACCTGAGTACTTACAAAGATTAAGAAATAAGAAAAAGAACATTCACAGGGGGCATAAGCAAAACACTATCTGTTTTTGTTCGTGCAACCAACTAAATAAAAACATTTAAAGCTCAATTTGAGAATAGATAGAAAATGAAAGTGGAAAGCTCTGTCCAGAATTTTGATTAACTTTTGAAATCATTTTCTCTAGCAGAAATGATGTGAGGAACATTTGTGGCAATGTAGCTAATAAGAGTTCCTCGTAATATCTGGTATGTAGCAGATTCAGCATTTTTCCCAGCCCTGCACACCACCATCAGGTACTTGTTTTCCACCGGCCCCGCGAAATCGACATGGATTCGCTGCCACGGCCCTGACGTGGGCTCCCACGGGTGGAGTGTCGCTCGGGGTGGAGCGCCGCGCTTCTCAGCGCATGAGTGGCAGCCCCGTGCCATGGCCTCCAGGTCGGCATCGAGACCGGGCCACCACAGGTACCGCCTCGCCAGCTGTTTCATTTTGGACCCACCAAGGTGTCCAGTGTGTAGCTCCTGTAGCACCCGCTCTCTGAGTCTCTGGGGTATCACCGCCCGTCCGCCCCAGAGGAGCACACCCCGGTCGGTGGACAGCTCCGTCTCGCGCTGTCTGTAGGGGGCCAGCTCCGGCTCCGTCACTGATGGCCATCCGTGTCGGACATGCGACAGTACCCTGGCCAGCAGTGGGTCACGTCGGGTGCCGATTTCGAGCTCGCGGGCCGTCAGCGGCGGGCCCGCACCGTCCATAAACATCAGGTGGCAGTCCAGGCCGCTGGTGTCCGCCTCTGCTGCCGTCTGCTCCTGCTCGCTATCCGGCAGCGCCATCCGAGACAGACTGTCAGCGAGAGCCATGTCTGCCGTTTTGCGCAGTTCCACGTCATACTGGTACGCCGCCAACTCCATGGCGATCCTCTGAAGACGTGCCGCTGAGAGGCCGGGCAGGTCGCGCTCGGGGCTGAGTATCCGTGACAGAGCCCTGTTGTCCACGGTGAGTGTGAATCTCCTCCCGAACAGGAATCGATGGAACCGTCTGAGTCCATACTGCACACCGGTCGCTTCCTTCTCAACCTGTGCGTAGCGCCTCTCAGTCGGTGTCAGCGTTCTCGACGCAAACATGATTGGTCGCTCCGTGCCGTCGGGCATCTGATGCAGAAGGGTCGCGCCGACCCCCGTGGAGCTGGCGTCCGTGACCAGCTTCAGCGGCAGGCTGGGGTCGTACCTAACCAGCACGCGCCCGCTGGCCAGCAGCCGCTTCACTGTAGCGACCGCAGCCGAGCACTGCGGCGTCCACCGCCACGGTGTGCCGCGCTTGAGCAGAGCGTACAGAGGCGCGAGCGTCGTGGCGAGCCCCGGCAGGAGGCGGCTGTAGTAGTTCACCGATCCCAGTAGGGATCGGAGCTGCTGTACGTCTCGCGGCTCCGGCGCGTCCAGGAGCGCCGTTGTGCCGTCCTCCTCCGGTCTGATGCTGTCTGCAGTGATCTTCCACCCCAGGAACGATACTTCCCTGGCCAGGAACACGCACTTGGACCGCTCCAGTCTCAGCCCGTTGCGTTCCATTCGATCCAGCGCCCGATCCAGGCGCCTCAGCAGCTCCTGTTCGCTGTCGGCTGCGATCAAGCAGTCGTCCATGTAGCACAAGCAGCCGTCCAGTCCCTCCGCAGCGGACCGATCGAGGAGGCTACAGCGGACCGATCGAGGAGGCTTCAGCGGACCGATCGAGGGGGCTGAGCGGACCGATCGAGGGGGCTGAGCGGACCGATCAAGGGTACTCAGCGGACCGATCGAGGAGGCTCTCAACGCTGGTAGAGCGGCTACGGTACAACACCTAGTGTCGCACTGGGTTCGCGAGCGGACGACCGAGGCCGCCACTGAGACGAAGGAGTGGCGACAGAACACTCACCCCCCGACCCCCCTTGATCTCCACCTCTGGGCAACGGCATACTACGGGCCCGAGAACCAGCTCCAGATGTCGCTCTTGTAGGCTCAGAGACACTTGCATTCGCCAATGATGATCAATGGAAGATAGGATATGAAAGTGCCTCTTCACATTGAGTAGGTTTCACTGGACACCAGCAGCATTTTGACATGTCAATGATTCGCGCGTAATCGCCATCATCACCAGTGGCCGGTGGCCCTCCCTCGTTTCCCATTTCCCTCCTCATCCCGACTACAGCGCCCTCAGCTGCCCATAACCGCTGATTCAGTGTTTGACCGCAAGGTGAAAGCACCGTTCAGGACATTTCCATTGACGTCAACCACAAACGCCAAGGCCCTCTAACCACTAACGCCTTGTGCACCGTGTGGCGTACCGTAAAGTGGGGCTATTTGAGACAGTGGGGCTATTTGAGACGGTATTTAAAATCGCTATAAAATGAAGATCGTTTGATTTGTGTGATATTTTTGCTCAGGGAGGTGTGGAATCGAGCAGTAAATCGCCTGAGCAAAAAATTAAGCATAAATTTTAAGTGGTTTTTATTTTATAGCAATTTTAAATACTGTCTCAAATAGCCCCACCTTACGGTATGCACTGCAGTGGTATGCATTTATACGTGAGGAATGGGTTACGCCCGAGGTTTTATTTCCACCGTGGATGCCTGCCTGCGTGGATGCACTGCACTTACGACCGCGAACGAGTAATTCTTGACATATCAATGTCTCACACTAGTTTCACGGGCTAACGTTCGAGAAAACACCAAATGAGCGATAACAATCGTACACTTGATGGATACACTATATTCATATTTGCATGCAGTATTACACATAACAACACCCTCCATGGATGATTACCTATTTACCTTAGCTGGACGGCGCGTAGTCACCAAATATCTTCACCGCGGGTACAAAACGCGGCAGAAACATTTAGCTCAGACAAATAGCTCATGCTTTATGCGAGGGTAACAAGTCTTCAAGCGGCGAGGATATTATGTAAGCCATGTTCTCTAGTTAACTACGTTTAAAAATACAAATCTTGTGACTCATTATGACGGTAAGATTTAGTTTCAGACATACATATATGGTTCGATCATCGATGAACCTCAATAGCTATATAATGCCACGGTAGTTAGTGTCTTTGAAAGCGGTAGGTACTGTTGATCCAGAGCACTATACAAAACACAGCAAGGTCACAAGCCTTGTAACTGAAATGTTCTTAACCACACACCCACACAAGCATATAAACATGCAACACATCACAACCCGCGATTTCGCCCCGTAGCCCATATCAAAACCTAATGGCACTCGAAAACTTTGTACAAGCACTGTTCGAGACAGGGAACGAGCGTTTGAACAGCCCGATTCAGAGGTTCACCAATTCACAACGCACGCTATACACAACATACACCCAGAATATCATAACTTCACAGCAGGTGCAGCATTTACGGACACAAGATTGAGAGACGAACGTTCATTGGCCGGAGGCATGTCACCGACTCGCTCATTGGTGGAGCGAGCTCCCCCGGCTCTCCGATTGGACGATAGTGCGCCGACCTTCTGAGGCGGCGGCCGTGATTGGTCACCGATGCATCTCGGGGCTCGCTGATTGGCTGCCATGGGACACCTCATGGCGATAGCTCCGCCCACTGACCCGGACAGACGCATTCATGGGCTTAGGTTCAAGCTTGGGGAAGACTAAACGCAACCGGGTCGCATCCATAGCTTTAGCCGCTGCTAAGCGGGCGGCACATTAAGAGCTCTGGGACGGTTGCATGACACAATCCACATTTCAGATCTGATAGATTGTAAGCTGGACATGATCTCCACATATAGAAAACACAGTCGAGTGTGTATCTCACTCCGCACTGTTAGCGTTCAGCCACAGGCAGCTTTTTACATCATTATTATGAGCGTGTTGTGTGCCCCGCACTGTCATTTGCCGGCGCCCAATCCTGGGCAGTTTCACATCTTCTGACCTATCGTTTGACTTGCAGTCTTCGTATTTAACCTCCTCCAGTCCAGCTATGTAGTTCTTCGTCTTATTATGACCCGTTAACCGTATGTAACTGTCTCTTTCTCCCAGAGTCCAGCCATTGCCAGTCGTGAGTTGATCATGTCAGTTGTGACATGTACGCCACAGCCACACCATTTCACATCTCTAGAATATGTCCAACCAAGAGCAGAGTTTCACGCAACACCATGTCCCTCACAGTCTCACATATTCCGCTTGGTCTCAGATCTGACGGGTCTAAGATCTTATCAACCTTAGAGATTCCTGATCAGTCTGGGATTTTCTGGTCGGTCTCAGATCTGATCATAGGCTGCGTCGGCCCGGCGACAGGTAACACAGTAGGTCACTCCGTCCTGTAGGAAGAAAAACATCCGGTCAAATATCAATGCCGGATACTCTTATGTAAAGTGCGTCCTAGACGCGGGCCAGCATTTATGTCTAAATCAGACGGCTAAACAGATGGCTGAAACGAATCAGTGACACGTATTCTATGGGTGATATCGACCTTCGTGATGTTCATCATTTTTCCTTTCCTTTCTTCTAAAGAACGTATCTTCAACCAGGGCTGCGGAGCAGACATGTGCATGGATCCGAGAAAATGGATCTGGGATCTGATCCCACGGATCCGACGGGATCATAGATCCAGCTCTGTAATTTATCGAGAGATCCGCAGGGATCACAGATCAGAGTCTCATTTTTTGCTTGAGATCCAGTGAGATCATAGATCCTCACTTATTTTTTTGTCAACACATACCTATATCAAAAAAAAAAAACTTGTTTCAACTCACAAACGTACTGTTTTAGTGATTTTATGTGATCGCACGTCATAATTCATAGTTCTGTGTCACTTATTGGCATAGAAACCCTTTAAAACATAGTTTCAAATGTGGTGCATGGGGAGAATCTGCTTGAGATCCAGTGAGATCATAGATCCTCACTTATTTTTTGTCAACACATATATAAAAAAAACTTGTTTCAACTCACAAACGTTCTGTTTTAGTGATTTTATGTGATCGCACGTCATAATCCATAGTTCTGTGTCACTTATTGGCATAGAAACCCTTTAAAACATAGTTTCAAATGTGGTGCATGGTGGGATCCACTCAGATCATAGATCCATGTTCTTAATTTATCGTCAGATCATATGAGATCATATATCCAAGATGTATTTTTCACGCCGGATCCGGTGGGATCATAGATCCTAACCTGTACTTTGCTTCGAGATCCATTGAGATCATAGATCCATCACTCGGATCCATGCACATGTCTACTGCGGAGTCGATGGATTTTAGAGTGACTTCGACTTCTACTCCGAATCCGGCTTCAAAAATCAACTCCGATTCTGACTCCAACTCCGACTCCGACTTCGGACGGTTCTAATAAAATCCATATCATGATATTGAGGTTCATAATGGAAATGTTTTATCTTGCCTGAAACGATCCCTTGTGCGTTTCAAGGCTTTGCGTTGCAAAATTGCATCAACCCGCGCCCTGCTGGGGGGGGGGGGGGTGTGTTTGAACACCCCCCCCTGTGGTTTTTCGCGATTATCTCAAAAACGGCGGCGCGGAGCGCCGCCGTTTTTGGTACACCTTATCATACATCAATTCTACACATGTTGTGAAAATTTCAGACCAAGGTAATTCAAGGTCAGGTCACCAGGTCACTTGAAGTGACCTCGCCTCATAAAAAGTTTCAAGGTCTGTCATAGCTACACCGAGTGACCGATCGCTTTGAAACTTTCAGCGATTGCTAAGAGCAATAGCATGTATGTACAAAATGTATATCTCAGAATTTTGATATCGATGACCTAAGGTCAGGTCAATTTCGCGACCTCCCCATTATAAGTCAATGGGAGAAAATTGAAATTCGCCTCTTTTGGACGAAAGACATTATAAACACTCCCAAACACTGAATTACAAGTGGTTTAGACACATTGAACATGAAAATAGTGTCCGTGACCCCTGTTTATGCCCTGAGGTCATCTTAGGTGACCTCAGGGCACAGCACAGCACCGACCGCCACCCCAGGCCACCGTGACAACGAGGAAATGGTCGCAGCTCGACTCTGCTGAGCTCAACGGAAGGCTGTCGGACGTCGACTGGACTCCACTTTTCGCATCTGAGGACCCGGCTGTGCAGTGGGAGTACTTTGTGTCATGTGCGACTGGTGTGCTTGACGAACTAGCACCAGTTCGCAGTGTAAAAATTCGCAACCCTGCCGCGCCTCCGGTCAGTGACACCACTAAAGCCGTCATGGCGGAGCGCCGGGCTGCACTTCGTGACGGTGACCGTGAGCTCTACAAACAGCTGAACCGACAGGTGCGCAGCAGCATACTGAGGGACAGCAGGAGCGCGATCCGTGATCGGCTGCGGGATGGCGGTCCGTCCTCCGTGTGGCGCAGTGTGAGGCCCATCGTAGCCGGGAAAAGGGACGGGGCGGTGAGCCCAGCGGACGTCGATGTGGACGCCTTGAACCGCTACTTTGTGGGCCTTGGACCACGCACTGTTGCACAGGTCGACGGATCGGGGCCGGACGTTCCGGTCAGGCTACCGCGTGTATCCACTTCGGCGTTCGCGCTGCGCACAATCGGCCTTGGCGAGCTGCGATGCGTTTTGTCCCGCATGAAGAGCTCCACAGCTACTGGTATCGACGGCTTATGCGTTAAGTTCGTTAAAATGTGTTTTCCTTCTATTGGGTCATGTCTGTTGCGTATGGTTAACACTAGCCTGCGCACGGGAATCGTGCCCGACTCGTGGAAGGTGTCGATCATTCACCCCGTGCCAAAGAGCGGTGCTTCATCTGACCTGTCCAACTTTAGGCCCATCTCAATTGTTCCAACCATCGCAAAAATCGTTGAAAGGGTGGTGCAGGAACAGCTGTCATGTTACTTCAACGACAACCAATTGTTTAATGTAAATCAACATGGGTTTCGCGCGCATCATTCCACCGAGACGGCTCTTTTATGCCTAACCGACAAAGTACATCAAGCCATGGACGTGGGGGACATATCGTTGCTTGTGATGCTTGACTTGTCAAAGTGCTTCGATGTTGTTGATCATGCCCGGCTTTTGGACAAACTGCGGCTGTATGGTGTTTGTACTCGGTGGTTTGAGAGCTACCTGTCAAACCACCGTCAGCAGGTAGCGCTGACGTCCCGCACCGCCGGCCGCCGCCTGCCTCGCGCGCTGGTCAACCCGCTAGGCACGTACCAGGGATCCGCCCTCGGGCCTCTGTTGTATAGCATTTACAGTAATGACATGCCACTGTACGTCGAGGATGCCAATTCCAACATCATTCAGTACGCTGATGATACACAGGTTTTAGTCACAGGTCCAAAGCATACGATGCCGCTCAACATTTCGAATATGGAGCGCAGTTTAGCTGCTCTTTCATGGTGGTTTCGAAAGAACGCCATGAAGCTCAATGCCAGCAAAACTCAACTTATTGTTTTCGGCTCTCGTCCTAACCTTAGACTCCTGCCGCCGGTAACGGTAACAATTGACGACACTTTGATCAGAGAGAGCCCAACAGCCAAGAACTTGGGCGTCATTTTCGACCGACATCTGTCATTTGATAGCCATATTGATCAATGTGGTGCGAAAGTGTTCGGGTATTCTGCTGTCGCTGTGCCATGCCAAACATGGACTACCAGCTGAGGTGTTACCTCGACTCATAGACGGTCTCGTCATGTCCTCTATTCGCTACTGTGTATCGGTGTACGGGGCAACCAGCGGTCAGCTTGTCCAGAGAATTCAAAAGTGCATAAACTTTTGTGCCAGAGTCCTATCGGGCAAGCGCAAATACGACCATATCAGCGACACGCTGAGGTCTCTGGGCTGGCTGTCTGCTGGTCAACTCCATCAGTATTACACTCTGACGGCCTTGCGCAGGCTGTCTGACATGTCCGAACCCGAGGAGCTAGCTTCATTGTTTGTCAGAAACAGCGATGTGCACACGCGGACCACGAGGGCCAGAAACCAGCTCCATCTGCCGCGCATCCGGAACGAGTACGGGCGGAGGCGCTTTGTCTACAGGGCAGCTTCCCTCATGAACTCTCTTCCGTCCCATGTTTGTGATTGTCGCGGCAGTAGAAAGCAGTTTGGGGCTGCACTCAAACGCCACATGCTCTCCAATACCTGACTGTCCGATTTTTACACTGATGGTGTTGTGTTTGTGTGTTTGTGTGTGTGAAGTGTGTATGACAACCGTGCCAGCATTCTCAATTTAGTCGTCCCCTGTGTTCTATACTTGTATGACGAAAACATGTAATAGCCTCTTTATAGAGGATATGTTTGATATGTTCAATAATTAAATAAATAAATAGGTCACGAATGATACCTAACAGTTTTTCGCAAATAACTTTTGATAGAGGCATGCTAGAGCGATGAAAACGCCTTAGATGTGTTCAGCTCGACGATACGGATCGACTGATATGCAACATGACCCTTTCCGGTCAGGTCATGACCTTGACCTGAGGTCAAATTTTCAAGTTGACCTTTCAAGGTCAAGTTATAGTTCATTCGATGCGTCTTGACGAGAGGAACACGATGCCGGTAAAAGTAAGCTCGTAAAAGGCTTGGGTCAAAAGTTATTGCAGAAAAACTGTTTCCGAAAAAAATCGGCTATTTTTGCAGTTTTTGCCCCCCTGCAGGCAAAACCGTTGACGTTAGGTCAAATCTGAGAAAATTACTCAGAAAGGGCGTTAATAGGGCTATCGAAAGCGCTTTTCCGCGGCGCTGTAGCTCTATTGGTTCCCGAGTTATGCGTTGGCTTCTTGGAAATTGTCGACATTCGACCTGGAAATCGGCGAAATTTTGCCTTCAATGACCTCTGGTGACCTGACCTTTGACCTGACCAAAAAAATGACCTGACAAAAAATTGAAAAGTGATTTCCTCATTATTTTTGACGCTCTTTCGAACGCCGCCTCCCGCGTATCGCTACGTGGCCCAGGAGCCGAGTTAGAAGGGGGGGGGGGTGGTGTTCAAACACCCCCCCCCCCAGCAGGGCGTGGAAATCCAGGACCCCCAGCCGGGCGCGGGTTAAAATAGCATGCATAATTAAAAAGAAGGTTCTGCGGCATTCACCGTCTTCTGCTTCTTTCGCTGAAAACGTTATCCAAAACAGCAAAATGTCCTTTTTTCGACAAAATATAATTTCGAGCGCAGTAAGTCAATCAAACAGGTGCAGTGCATGACGCTGAGCCATGCAGCGTTAACTCTGACTCCGGAGTCGGAGTTGCTAAGATTTTGGCGACTCCGACTCCGGGCAGAACTGTCGACTCCGACCGACTCCGACTCCGACTCCGACTCCGACTCCGACTCCGCAGCCCTGTGACTTCAACTGACGCGTTTTGGGTGAAGATTGCGAGCAAGAAATCATAAAATTAAACCAAACCAGACTATGTACTGCAGGCAATAAGTATTATCGTATGTCATGCAAGTTCTGTATTAGGTTCCTTTGCTTTTTTCCTCTATCTACCCTTTCTCAATGTCGGCTCTTCTCCTCACATTCCTCCCTGTCTCCCGCATCCTGACTCTCCCCAACCCATTCTCTCACTCTCTCTCTCTCTCTCTCGCTCTCTCTCTCTCTCTCTCTCTCTCTCTCTCTCTCTCTCTCTCTCTCTCTCTCTCCAACTCCTCCCTGCCCCTCATGCTCTTTCTCTCGCACTCACAGTGTTGGAATTCTCATTTTCAGGCTCGGCCCGTGAGCATAAAATCTGGCCGCAGAACAATTATTATTACCGGTCAGATTTTATAGCAACCTGCCTCCACAACATTCACTGGGATATATATTAGAAACCATCTTATAACATTGGCTTGACAAAACAAGCAAAAAATGGAGGATTTAAGGTGCTAAAGTATGCCATTTTTAAAACCCCCTGATACATGGAACCGGAAAATGCCCTCATTTCCACTATAACTCACCCTGACTAGTCCGGGCAGTCCAGCCCAGAACCTCCGATTGGGTATCATCTCCACGCCGGTCGCTCCGACGACGATCCTGCGGTAGGCCACGCCGACCACCAGGTAGAAGAGCATGCCGACGACCAAGACGACGAGGAAGACGCCGCCGGCCGAGAGCGGGTGTTGGTGAACCTCCTCTGGACAGCCGTCCGGGCAGGCGCACTGGGAGCTCAGTACCATTTTCTGACATACAGAGAGAATGGGAGGGAAGGGAAGGGGTTAGGGAGAGCTGTATTTTCCATAGTATAGTCTCTCATGAGGGTAGCAGCTGAGGAAGCCGGGGCTACATGGTAGCCAAAGGTCACATGTCGCATCCATGGCAAAAACGATTCCGCTTAAGGTATTTCATATTAGCATCCAGCTTTAATTGAACCTAGATGCATTTGTGATGTAAAGCTAACTGCAATTTCAGACCGTACCAGCCCAATGCAGAGCATTGACGAAAAGGAGAAGGGTGAATGTTCGAAAGCGAGAAATTACAGAAAAATATGTCCTAGGTCAGAACCCGTGCTAGCCCTGACCCTACACTGAGTTCTCGCATAAATTTAGTACAACAATTAGGTTGAGCTTAGCGAGTCGACGTATACTCACATATTGAAGGGAGCCGGGCGGATTCTGCTGTAACACCTTCAGCTCGGGGTTGACCCAGCCCCACTGACAGACCAGAGAAACGTTGGTAGTCCTGTCAAGACACAGGCAACACACACGATAAGGGTTGCGCAATGGTCAAAGGAGATTTAGTAGCTGCGGTGGGCGGGTGGCAGGAGTCTAGTGAAAGTAACGCGGCATGACTCTTCTTTTCGAAAGAAGAACGATTATAAGTAACGACTGAAGATCGTAGGAAATGAAATCAATGTGATATTCACGGGAAGGAAATTGTTTGTTTATTAGGGTGTACGGACGCGTCGACTGCGGTGGTCATTTTGCGCCCATAACGCTGTACTGGTGGAAATGTCAACAGAGAACTGACGAACTGAAGAAGGCTAGAACTAGTTGAGATACGTTATACTAGTAAAACGAGTATATCACAGGAAAACTGATGGACTGAATGTAAGAAAAGATGCTGCCGGATAAAACCCAGGGTGACTCGTCACCCAACAGGTGGCGGATGGTGGTGCCTGGGGCAACACGGCCGAGGCAGCGTGTCCGGTTTGGTTCGAGGTGCGGTCAACTTAAGAGAATGTGAATGGCTGTGAGCGGCACGGCACAAGAAGGAAAGGCGTAACACTTAAACACGCATCCCTCTCTCTCTCTCTCCCTCTCCCTTTCTCTCTCTCTCCAGCTCTCTCTCTCCCTTCCCTCGACTCCCTCACCATTCCCCTCTCTCCCTCTTACCTGCACTGCACTCCGAAGCAGCCGACATAGCTGATGTAGTACTGTTTGTCCTTAGGGTCCCAGCCCATGGTAGTGTGTCCCAGCTCGCCCAGGTTGTGGTACTGGCCCTGAGAGTCCTTCTGGCACACCTGTGTGGACAGAATTGGAACCAAGGTGTCATTGGGAGAACAAATGGGTCACTGAAGGCACATATGAGTCGCTGAGAAAACATCGGGCAAGGGGGGCGCACAGAGTGAGAAAGGATATAGTAGGTGCAAAATGACTCGTGACACAAATCGGGGACAGTAACATAGTTCAGCACACAACAAACAAAGGGAGACAGGTGCTAGTGTCCCACCAGCTGCACCCATAATACACTCTTACACATAATACCAGTAAAACGCCTTTTGGGCAAAGAACGAGCGAGCGAGATAGTGAGCCCTGCACAGTGCACGTGCGGAAGGGCGAGAGGGTATTTCCAACGAGGCTTGTGCAAAGCACCCTTCTAACCGGTCGCTAGCGGTGTGCCAAATTTGAACGCAATCGGCCCAGCCGTTCCTGAGATCTGGAAGCGGCATTCTGCACGTGCGCACGTGCAAACGGGGTCCAAACTGACTTTTGCACGGCACCCTATTAGCCGGTCCCCAGCCGTGTACCAAATTTGAGCGCAATCGGCCCGGCCGTTCTCGAGATCTGGAGGCGCCCCCTGTACGTGCGCACGTGCAGTAGCTCACCCTAACCGCAACACATGGGAATGCATTGCCTGGTGGGTGCCTACCTGTATGCCAAGTTTCAGCGAAATCGCCCCAGTAATTACCGAGTTATTGAAATGGGAACAAATTTGGCACCTCTCCTTTTTGTATTTTGCACGTGCAGTGGGGGTCACTCACATAGATCAAGAGTATCCGACCATTGGTAGAAGGGATGCAGCTACCCTACAAAAATTACCGCAAGACAATCGCCCAAGCGGCTGCTGAGATGAGCCTCTCAAAATCACTACTTTTGCAAGACAGCTTGAACACCCTTGACTTTTCACGTGGCACGTGCCACGACGGTCACTGAGATGTGTCAAGAGAAGTCAATTACGGGGTAGAAGGGATGGGGCTACCCAGCAAAAAAGACCGCAGGCCAATCGGTCCAGCGCTTGCTGAGATATAAGCCTCTCAAAAGCGTTACAGGCCGGGCCGGGCCGCTCATACTGAGATTTTTCCGTTATATTGAAAAGACTTCGCTTCGCTCGCTGCGCTCGCTCGCTCGTAAACACATGGTAAAAACACGGGACACTCAGCTTCTGCCACCGACACAGGAAAAAAGCACAATCATTAAATTCAACGAGTACAGTCGTCGCACACATTGAGGCCTTTCCTCTATCCAAACTCTTCCTCTTCCCCTCCTCTCTCTCTCTCGCTCTCTCTCTCTCTCTCTCTCTCTCGCTCTCGCTCCCTCCTCTCCCTCCCTCCCTCCCGCTATGCTCCCTCGACCCTCTCTCTCTCGCTCTCTCTCTCTCGCTCTCGCTCTCTCTCTCGCTCTCGCCCTCTCTTCTCCATCCCCTCCCCCGCACCCACCGACACGCCGTCGCAGGCCGCGCCGGCGCCGGGCAGTCGGAAGCTGCGGCACGGGTCAAAGTAGTAGAGGAAGCCGTTGCCGTCACCCGGGCCGCTGCCCACCTCCTTTACGTCCGAAAAACTGCGAAAGGAAGGACAAAAGTATAAAATAGATGACAGTAACATATCAGGACTGCAAGAAAGCGCTCTGAAAACCTGTGAAACGCAGTCCGCAGTATTAAGACGCCTGTGTGTGTATAATGGCGACAACATACATATTATGAGAAGCTGCAACATGACTGACTCTTATCTACAGATGTCAGTATTTTTGTGGGGGAAAACAAAGGAAGAGGTAGAGGTGGCGGTGGAGGTGGAGGGACAGAGACAGAGACAGAGACAGAGATAGAGACAGAGGGAGAGACAGAGACAGAGACAGAGACAGAGGGAGAGGGAGAGGGAGAGGGAGAGGGAGAGGGAGAGGGAGAGGGAGAGGGAGAGGGAGAGGGAGAGGGAGAGGGAGAGGGAGAGGGAGAGGGAGAGGGAGAGGGAGAGGGAGAGGGAGAGGGAGAGGGAGAGGGAGAGGGAGAGGGAGAGGGAGAGGGAGAGGGAGAGGGAGAGGGAGAGGGAGAGGGAGAGGGAGAGGGAGAGGGAGAGGGAGAGGGAGAGGGAGAGGGAGAGGGAGAGAGAGAGAGAGAGAGAGAGAGAGAGAGAGAGAGAGAGAGAGAGAGAGAGAGAGAGAGATGAGTCATTTACAAAGTAGATGTCACCAAGATCCAACAGCCCTGCAATAAACTTGAAGGCCAATTGAGCCAGTCAGAAGATCAGAACCGAGAAATAACTGGAACTGCACTCACACAGGGCTCCGCCTGCCGCTGATTGCGTCCAGACTGATCAGGGAGCCGTTCTCCATGCGGCAGGTGCACAGGTCCCCGGGCACCTTGGTGCAGCTGAGACTGTCGGCTGGCAGGGGCAGAAGGCAGATAGCTGCCGCCATACACACCACTATCCATGATGGCAGCATGGTTCACCACCTGCAGAGGATAAGGAGAATCAAGTGTGAAATCAAATGGTGCCAGTCCCAGTTTTGATAAGCTGAATTGCGAGGACACTGAAACATGTAATACGCATCAGTGTCGTCTCTGCGATCTATACGTTGCCAATTAGTATTTACCAATTTATGCATGTTCCAAACCTGCGAGCAACTTCACTTGACTTGAACTCGCCGTAATTCTAACAGCAATCAGTAAAAGGGAGAACAAAAACATACGAGTATATCAACATACCAGTAGTCTATACCTGTTTTACGGATTGCACAATTCGTCTCACAATTAATTTATGATCCAAAGCGATTCCGCAACGGTCACCGCGCTGTATATTCTAAAAATCCGTCCAAGGCTACTTCGTGGAGACTGAAGCAAGGCCGTATAGACTGAAGAGGCTCAAGCAAGTAAACAAAAGCAGGGAAGATCGTTGTGCTACCATATTAAGTTTCCTTCGTCAAAGAGATTATTTTTTACTACTAATTTCAACAAACAGGCCTTTCAAACTTCTGTTTCTGCATGAATCGGTTTATTCTTCTTAAAGAATGAATATTCAATATGGGGAAAAACATGTGAATCAACTAATTCAGCTGCAAAGAATATTTAAGTGGAAGATAAAATACGGGTATGTGGAAGGGATACTTCAATTTGGTACTGTTTCATATACTGCGCTTTTCAGACAACTTTTTTTTGCCTCGGGCGCCAAGCATTATTTTCACGGTGACTATAAATATTTGATTGTTTTGAGCCGACAACATAGCGGAGTAAATAGTTGATGATAGGGGTATGGATGTTGCGTTGTACGGTAATATCGAGACCGTATATAGGGTAATATTCTGAAATGCAAGCAATGGAAGCGAAAGGGCTTGCAAGACAAAGTGAAGTGCCAGGAGATGGAGACCAGGAAGTTAATTCAACTACAATGTCAAATCTTCTCATGGTTCTTCAGTCTGAAGAAGTTGATCTTTTGGACAAAGTTTTATTAGAAATGCTGGTTGAAGATATCAAGGAGTTGCTTCATCAAGGTTGGTTACTGCAAATCCCGCTTGTTTTAGAGTGCATACTACAATAACAATTAATCAATTTTTTCTGTTTAGGTACATGATTTTATTCAGCCAGTCATTTTCTTCTTTGCATGAGTCCGCTGTCTGCATGTTTTCCATGTTCACTAATGTGCACTATTACTTCTCAGCTGAGGCTCATGTGCAGTTTGAGGACACTTGGGCAACTTTGGAGAGGTGGAAGCTCCATGCCTTTCTGGTCTCCAGTCTAGGGTCACTGCCACGGATGATAGCAAGTGCAGATGTCACAGTTCCGTACCACCACAAGTTTGCATTGAATGTGCTGGCTTCATTGGTGCCACATGAGAATGTGTTTGTTCACCTGCAAGCTGAACATAAAGAGGTGAGAGGATGCCCAAGAGAGGTGCTGTACTTATTGAGCTCTCATGACATGCATGATGCATACTGATACTGTTTTCTTAGTTGGTGCCCTGAAACCCAGATATTTGGCCCTGATGATAATTTAGTTCATGATTGTCCATAAACTCAAATAAAAGGGGTTTCATTAACCCGCGCCCGGCTGGGGGTCCTGGATTTCCACGCCCTGCTGGGGGGGGGGGGTGTCTGAACACCCCCCCTTCTAACTCGGCTCCTGGGCCACGTAGCGATACGCGGACGGCGGCGTTCGAAAGAGCGCCAAAAATAATGACGAAATCACTTCGGTCAATTTTTTGGTCAGGTCAAAGGTCAGGTCACCAGAGGTCATTGAAGGCAAAATTTCGCCGATTTCCAGGTTGAATGTCGACAATTTCCAAGAAGCCAACGCATAACTCGGGAACCAATAGAGCTACGGCGCCGCGGAAAAGCGCATTCGATAGCCCTATTAACGCCCTTTCTGAATAATTCTCTCAGATTTGACCTAACGTCAACGGTTTTGCCTGCAGGGGGCAAAAACTGCAAAAATGGCCGATTTTTTCGAAAACAGTTTTTCTGCAATAACATTTGACCCAAGCCTTGTACGAGCTTACTTTTACCGGCATCGTGTTCCTCTCGTCAAGACGCATCGAATGAACTATAACTTGACCTTGAAAGGTCAACTTGAAAATTTGACCTCAGGTCAAGGTCATGACCTGACCGGAAAGGGTCATGTTGCATATCAGTCGATCCGTATCGTCAAGCTGAACACATCTAAGGCGTTTTCATTGCTCTAGCATGCCTCTATCAAAAGTTATTTGCGAAAAACTGTTAGATACCATTCGTGACCTAAGATGACCTCAGGGCATAAACAGGGGTCACAGACACCATTTTCATGTTCAGTAAGTCTAAACCACTTGTAATTCAGTGTTTGGGAGTGTTTATAATGTCTTTTGTCCAAAACAAGCGCATTTCAATTTTCTCCCATTGACTTATAATGGGGAGGTCGCAAAATTGACCTGACCTTAGGTCATCGATATCAAAATTCTGAGATATACATTTTGTACATGCTATTGCTCTTAGCAATCGCTTAAAGTTTCAAAGCGATCGGTCACTCGGTGTAGCTATGGCAGACATTGAAACTTTTTATGAGGTGAGGTCAGTTCAAGTGACCTGGTGACCTGACCTTAAATGACCTTGGTCTGAAATTTTTACAACATGTGTAGAATTGATGTATGATAAGGTGTACCAAAAACGGCGGCGCTCCGCGCCGCCGTTTTTGAGATATTCGCGAAAAACCACAAGGGGGGGTGTTCAAACACCCCCCCCCCCCCAGCAGGGCGCGGGTTAAAAGAAGTTGATTATAATGATGATTTGATGATTATGGTAATCTGGTCTTATTTTCCTTTACCAATTGTTGATTATTTCAAGTGGAGTCACTGCTAACTCTGTCCATCTTGTTTAAGGCCAGGGTGTTTTTCAGTGCTTCACTGATAATTTGTGGCTAGAATTGACTCCATCGAACTCTTTGTTTATTACAACCATCAATATTTTTCATATAGGTATTTTCCCTCTCTTACCTGTCCCCCAATGGGATCCCTCCTTTTTACCATTCCCCATTCTTCCCTCACTCTCAGTTCCTCCATCCCTCTCTAAACTGCACTTCCTTGCTCACTCCTCACTAATCTGTCAATTCATCGCTTATTTACTAAATATCATGCCATCCCTCTGTTCCATCTTTTCCAGGTGCTCTCTGCTCTGGTACAGTCCTGTGAGGCCCTGAATGTCAGCGCGGCCTTGTGCCTGCCACTGGCGGCTGTCATCTCAGCCTGTCTGGAGCACAAAGCAGGCAGACAATGGGCCGATCAGACAGGTATGCATATCCGCATCTGCTATGACTGTAAGGGAAATGACCAAGCTGAGACTGGCTGTCCCAGCATAACTTGAGTTACTTGGGCCCTGTGTGACCGCACAATGCCACTGAGCACTACCAGTATTAGTGATCGGTTTATATAGAAACAGCAGAATTGCTAGTTTTTGCTTAATTCCAGAGAAGCTGAGCACCAATGCCTGTTAGCGCTCGGTAGCGTCGTAGGGTGAAATGGGGCCCTGATCTCACTAGGGCCTCGGCTTTTCTGGGTCGGACGGGATTCGTATGCTCGGACCCAAAATCTTCTAATCCTGCTCAATTCTGCAGCTTTAATATCAAGCCTTTCCCAGTTCCCTGACCTCACCACGGACTCCTTCCAGGTGTTTGGTCGATGCTGATATCGGCGGTGCTGTCATCTGGTGGCGGCCGGTACAAACCCTCACTGCACCGACTGCTGATTGGTCGCCTGGCGCGGCTGTGGGCGGGGCCCGCTGCAGAGGTGAAGGGTCCTCTGGAGGCGCTCACCAGGTTCCTGGTGATACCGTCCCGGCGACTGATGCAGCCTGTGGAGAGGGACTGTCCGCCGGCCTGGGTGAGTAGAGGGGTCCGGACTGGGGAATGACGGGGGCGTACTTGGAACGAAAACGGGGATCTAAGTTTCCGCGTACTTACGATTTTTTTGTGGGATAATCTGCGAGTCTGTTTTAGTCTGTGTGTGAACTGTGCTGATTGCTGCGATACATCTGGCGATATATCACAGTTTGAACTGCTCTGAGCTACCGTACAACCGCATATGTAGCCGCTCAACACCTGTGTCTCTAACCTCTCTCAGCAGCTCATATGTTGCTGTGACCTGATATTGCGACGTGATACAACAATTATCTGTAATCGTCTAACCTCTCTGTGTTCACAGCTGAGCTGCTGTGAGGTGCTACTGCGGCTGGTTCAGCACCTGCTCAGACAGCCGGACTGTCGCGCCCTGACTCAGACGGACCACCATAGGCGGCTCATATTGACCCTCAAACAGCAGGTCAGGGGCGAGGGAAGGCTGAAGGTTAACTGATGTGTCTAGGAGGGATGGGGTCTGTCACGGGATGTTAGTTGATGTCGAGGCCTGAGTCCTGAAGGCCACTGTTTTGGGCGCAGGACGTGTTAACGATAACCAATGTCATGTGTGTAGAATTACTTGATATATTGCGTCATGGATTCCGAAAGTTCCCCCTTTTCCTCACCAGGTGGCACCACCGATGGAAGTATCGCCGTCCCCGTTCATCCCCGCTCAGCTGTTTGTCGGCCTGCACCTGCTCGACCAATCAGCGTCCGAGGAATCTGTGAAGACAGCGGTACAGAGGGCGTGCAAAGCGCTCAGCCGTCAGGCCGAGAGAAAAGGTGAGCTGCTGAGGCACTGGATGTGGCATAAGGGTTGCTTGGGGGCATTTGTGTGTCGTACAGAGCATTCATACACAAGAAGTGATGCTTTTGTATCATTGGTCCCTCGGACTGGCATACCTTCGACTTCAATCGCTTGATGATGATGTTAAAATGTGTCTCGTATCGAAATGTCCCGAATAGGCTCTTGTCGTCACATGTTGCGCACAATTCAATCTTTTCTTCACTGATGATCTTGCGGCAGGACTAAGCGAAAAAAGTGGACCATAGGTTGCTGCTGCAGATGTCTCGATGAAAGCTAAGTAGCTTTTTTCCTCATGTTCGGTGGTTTAACGGTGCGTTATTCACGCTATCTTTCGTTTTCAGATGCGCTCCGTAACGTCACCTCCTTGGTCCTGGATGCCTGCCTGTTGGGCGGTACCAGGTGCTGCCACCTATCGGCAATAGCTGCAGCTCCAGTGTGGTCGGTCCTCCACAGATGGCGGGCGTTGAAACTGACCCCCACGGAGACGGACATCGCTGGAGAAAACAGGAAAACAGTCGAGGTCAGTGGAACTCAACTCGGCTTGACCTTTCTCGATGGGTTTGCGTTCTTCATATTTCAACTGTGTATCCCTCGACTCAATTTCTGTGCAATTGCGATATAATTTTCATCGATTTGCTGGTACTGTGCTCGTCGCAGGCTTGAGTTACATTGAGTTTAGATCAACCCTCGCGACACCGTTCCGTGCTTCTATCCTCAGGATACTAAGATCCTTCTCCTCCACGCCGCAACCCCCTCCGGGGTGGACAGGCAACTTTACCTCATGCGGGCTGCTCCCTTGGAGCGGCACCGCTGCTCCCGAGGGAGCGCACCCCGTAGCCGGGTGCAGTGAGTACCTTGAGGCTGGGTGGCCCGTCCTCTGGACGGGCTCAGCCCCGGTGACTCACTAGGGTGCCTGCCCAGACCAATGCCTCCCCCTATATCCTACCATCCTCCCGGCTCTGAAATGGTCCCATTGGACCGAAAGGGCTTAACCAAAAAAAACCCTCGCGACGCACGATGGATTTCTTTTCAATTAAATTCACGTTGACTTCTCTCTGTCTCCAAACAGGAGTTTGTGGCCGGTGACAGCCATCTGGCGGAGGTTCTGGGAACCTCTAGTACCAGCATAGCTCCGCTGGAAGGCGGTGACGCTGACCCTGATCTGACGAGTGACCTTGACCTCTTGAGGAAGGTGTTCGTGGGCCGAGCGGTAAGCACCTGGGGCCAATAACATGGAACTTTTGGGGAATAAGTTTTGGTCTGAACCGTAGTTTAGACGTGTTTTGGTTGGCGCATTATATAAAAAATTATATTGATATGTGTGCTCGTGTTATTCGTATTTTGTAACTTTGCAATTCATGATTACGTGACAATATTTCCCCGCTACCCTGACCAAAGGGTAAAAATAGCACAAGTTTTGTTCTGTATTTGCACAGTGTTCACCTGAAATGTTGTCCAGGGTGCCAGTCTATTGTGTAATCTCCAACTGTCCTGCAGGACTGTCCGTCCGACTCGCCCCTGCAGCTCTCGGCTCTGTGTCCATCTTACATCTTTTTTTTCTCTGTGTCACAGGACCGTCCGACAGTATCACCTCTGGAGCACTCTGCTCTTTGTCAGCTGATCCAGCCCTGGGTGCTGCTGCTGAAACACGGCGTGGTGCGGTCACCTCGCACTCAGGTAGGTCGGACTGGGTGACGCTGTGGCAGGGGCTTGGTCCTGAAAGAGTCGAGCCTGTAGTTTTCTGTTAGCTCTCTATCTCAATTGGATTTTGTGTGTAAACCCATAAAATAGGTAAGTTATAACTTTATAGGGTTTCATTGTTTTCAATTTTCTGTTTCCATCAGTCATAGCTCTCGCACAATTCCTATGGGTCATGGTACCTAGCTGTGATATTTGAAAACAATGCTTTTTGAAAATCGAAGAGATTCGTGGAAACAACATTGACATTGTCACTAAACGTGGACTTTTTACTTCCTACATCGGGCATTGAATGAAATGCATATGATGCGTTCTTATACGGAGATAAGTCATCATTTCATCGTAAGCACGCGCTGACATCGTCCGTCCTGCCCCCGCCGCCATCTCGCTCAGGCTGACGTCTTATCACTGATGGCCAACCTGTGTGGACCGGCTGACGTCACACCGCGTCACTGCGGAGACGGTGATGTGACGTCACTGACGGGACTGGATGACGTCATTGTCAGCGTGCTGGAGAGCCCGGACCTCACTGAGAGGGTAGGGGCCAAATAAGCAATGTTTTAATTCTTGTTTGAGCACACATTTTTTTTTTTTTGCTTTTATCCAATGTGTCTTTCTTTCTGATGGAACTCTACTGTCACTGTTTTACCTCAGGTGTTCGTAAAATAATTATACAGACGGTGTATATTAAATGGATGAACGTTTTCATCGTTTTTTAGACACTTTGATGCTTTCTTGCAATCATCAGCTGCCGTCCCTCCCTGTGCTCTCGCCTCTCACTGTTTGTTCCTCCCCTACTCACCGGATGGGGAGTAGGGGACTCATGCAGTGCCCCTCCCGCCCTCCTGTGCTGACCGTCAATACTGATAGTTCTCTCTTTCTCCACCAGGTGGCAGTGTGCGCTGTGCAGTGCCTCACCCGCTGCTGTCGTCTTCTACCTTCCTCCCACGGCTCTGGACCCCTGTGGGACCGTCTGGCTGGACTTCTCAGCACGCGTCTTACCAAACCCACTGGGGAAGACTCCATGGACGCTGCCGGGGAGGCGGTGCTCGCGCTGGTTCGAACAGCCAATCAGAGGGCAGGTTACAGCCAACCGACCAATCACAGCGAGGATGACAGACAAGCAACCAATGGCGACAGCGCACCACCTCAGCCGGCCATTGGGGAGGAAGAGTGTTCGCTGAGCGGATGGCTGTCGACCAATCGGCTGGCTTCTGTGACTGTGACGTCACTGATAGGGGCGGGGCCTGGCGGCCGGCGCGTCGCCCATTGGCTGATCGAAGAGGCGACCGGCGGGGTCTGGAGAGACATTGAGGAAAACGTCGACCTCAGTCGGGTAAGAACCTTTTTTTTGCATTCTTACGGAAATCAGAATGATATATTTCACTCTCGACTTTTGCTGGATGAATGTCAAGAGCATTGGCTTTTATCTGTAAATAATTTTTATTGAGAACCAGCCGCACTTTTTCAGTGTTTCCACTGCATGAACATTTTGTGTTTGTGTTTGCCACTTCAGTATTGTGTAGTGTATTTGCATCCCTGGAAACAATGCCTGCCCCCCTGCCCCACTCTGACCTGACCTGACCTGCCGTGCCCCCCCCTTCCAGCTCCTGGCCAGCTGCTCGGACGGTGACGTTGTTCTGGACACGGCTCCCCTGCTCTACCTACTCCGTCGGCTCTCTCCGGGCCCGGGCGGGGCGCGTCGCCCCCTGCCACCCGCTCTATGGAGGGACTGCCTGCCCCTGCTGCAGACGGCACTATGTTCGGGGGAGTTGGCTGTCGCTGCTGCTGCTCAGATGGTGTACCGCGCCGCTGTGGACTGTGGTAAGTGACTTGGAGAGATATCACTGGACCTGAGCGAACTGAGTGCATCTTAATTAATTTTGTAATGCTTCTTTTATTTCCAATGCTTATGACTTCAATGGGTTAACAGTTAGCATTTGGGTGTAGTGCTGCCCTTGGAAAGTGTTTTTTTTTTTGCTCGATGCAGCAGTCTTGCCAACTTTTGAACATCGAGGGATAGATTATTTATTGTGTTTGACCTGTTTCGCTAGTCATTCAACACCTAATGAGTATTCATACTGAGGCTTGAGTGCTATCAACTGAAAGCTGGATATTCTATTCTGCAAAATGCTATATTGAATATTGCATTATTTCTTTATCTTTAAACGTTTTAAGTTTTAACTCACGCACGCACGCACTCCCTCCTTCACTCACTCACTCACTCACTCACTCACTCACTCACTCACTCCCCTCCCCCACCCTCTCTCCCCAGATCTCGCCTCCGGCTCTCCCGTCTCTGCCTCTACCGCCGTCAGCTGGCTAAGAGACGGTGCCGGCCGCTCTCTGCTCTCTCTCGCCTCCCGCACTCTGCCCGGCTCGGACCAGTCCAGCGCAGACTCCAACCTCGGCAATGGGGAGACTGGGATTAGTGATGATGAACGCACCTCGGCCAGGGCGCTTTTGAGGAGGGTCGTACGGCTGCTTTCTGGAGAGAAGCTACCAGCTGGGCCTGAGGCCCCTGCTGCTGCTGTCATTGCTGCTGAAGGAGCTGAGCGGGATGCAGGTAGAAGTGTTGATCAAGATGCTGGATGTAAAGGAGCTGACGTTGGATCTCATGCCGAAGATGCTGCTACCCACGGTAGTGGTAAAACAAGCGCTGGGAACATCGGAAAAGACGTGACGCGGATTCTGGTTGGGACGCATGATGACCTCACGAAGACTACGGATGACGTCACTATGACTGTCGGTGACGTCACGATATGTGATAGGCTGGAGCCAGGCGCTCTAGAGGAAGTAAGAAGGCTGTGTATGGAGGTGGCAAAGGGTGATACCGGGGACGAAGGCCGACCACGTGACTCTGATGCGAGACTGGATGCGGTGTCACGTGATGCGGTGATAAGCAGTGTATTGGCTCAGAGTACTGAGGAGTTTTTCGGTGGACGTGTGGGCGGGGGCGGGGGCGGCAAGGCTCAACTCCGCTGCCGCCCAGAAGTTGGGATAGCACTGTCTGAGTTCCTAACCGCTGCTTCCGCGGTGGAGGCGACGGGCAGTGGCGATTCAGCGACGGTGGCGTCCTCTGTATCGGCGACCGCAGCGCCACCTGTGCCAGCCTCGGAGTGGATAGAAGCTCTGGTTGGCCGAATGACCGCCAGGGTGCAGGAAGTTTTCCGATGTGCGACAATGGATCGGAAGATTGACATCCCAACTGACTGTTACTGAGGAGAAGACTCGGGTCAAAAGTCAGGTCAGTCAACTCTTGTTGTGCGACAGCTTAGTAGTAGCTAGTCTGCTTGCATTTCGCTGCTATCGCTGCCTCTTGGCTGGTAGTGTCGTGAATGCATGCCTGACATCAGCCTTCGCCGTTTTCCCGATCTTTGGGTACCATGTTTTTGATAACCGTTCAAATGATTTAAGGTACAAATAAATGCTGGTTTGTATACATTAGCTCTATCTGGCTGCAAACTTTTCAATCACAGGACGGAAGCTTCTAGTGTAGTTGAAGTAGTTGGTCAAATGTGATCGAAAATCGAATTGAGTCACGGCTGAGATAAGGTCATGTTTAATGCTGAAAATAACGTCTCCATCATGAAGTTATGGACAAGTTTGATTGCATCACAACATGTCTGAAACGCTACGGTCTGGTGGGTAGTTTGCGACTTATAAAACTACTTCAAAGTGCGGTGTAAGACTATTTTTCCAGGGACTTTTGTGACATGTTCAGCATTTGGACCAACCTTTGACAACCACCGGTTCTTTGGATCTCCTGCTTGACATAAGTTCGTAGGATTGTATGTCTCATTCTAATACTTGCATTATTTTTTTCGAATCCACATTGGAAGTACTACAAAAATTATCGAGACTTGTATGGCCGAGTATATCTTCAAAACCATAGTGTTTCAACAGCAAGATATTACATTTAGGTATTGCAAGGCCCTGGCCGTCATCCATGCGTCATATTAACTGTCTCTGTTCACCGCATCTTACTAGCGCCAATATGGCAAAATATGTAGCTAACTGCGTAATTAATTGTTTTACCCGCATGTGCATTAGACCAGCAAAATAAAATTAAACAAAATAAAAACTATATCCTGCAAATGTGGGAGTGATGGGCTTTATCGGGTAATTTTATTACAGTTTAGTAGCTTAGTAGCTGATTTGGGTTACGTCCGGGTAGCCTGATTCCAAAGACCCTTCGATCTTATATGTGCGTTAAACACTGCTCCGAAGCTCTGCCGTAATCCAGGCTTTAGCGCCACTGCCCCCCTCCAACCCCTCCCTCACCCGGATCTACCCCCATAGTGTCCGGCAGTGGTGGGGCATTATCGCAGGATTGATTTAGGGCTGCTCTAGGATGTAATGATTAGTTTCTACCCAGTGTTGCGTTTGATTGGGACCTACCGTTAGGATGACTTTTTGAGCGCTACCTTTTATCATTTTATTGCCCTGAATGTGTCGCGACCTTCCAAAGTGTTGTTTTACTTAGATGAAATTTGAATTAGATGTGTAACTATGCAGTTGTACGGTATTGGAAATCTGATGCGCCGCTTACGATGGCTCCATTTATTGCTAGTTCAATCAAGACATCCGAAGCGAAACGCAAGCATAGAGGACCTAACAATCCGTGGCAGGAAACCGAAGTAATTATGGCATAATGGGTTTTCCGTATTCGCACCATAGCATTCTATTCGTCATCCCGTACTTCCAGCTTGTTTATTATGTAATGGGACAAACGAAATAAATGTAAGGTAAATACACGGCTGATGAAGTCAAAGGCTAGCGGTCTGTAACCAGTCATGCCTATGTTATTTGCCGTTTTCTCAGTTACCCTTCATTGGGTACTCGGTCACTTCTACGACTATACATTTTCGATTGCAGAAAACGGTCCCGCTCGGGTATTACGAAGCCGAGACTCAGCTAGGTGTGGACATTTTTGAACCGATTGTGATGCCGTTTGCATGCGTGCCACGTCTAAGACGAACCGCACAGCAGTGAACCTCGAGCTGAGAATGATATCACTGCGCTGAGGGGGGGGGGGGGGGAGAAGGGGCTGTCTGCCGCGATTCCCAAATTCATCCGAGAATTCGCTACCGAAACTGATGTGGTCCCGCCGAGAAAATCCGTTCTGGCGAGGACCTGAATTGGCTTCACGCTAATGGAACGACCTCCTCAAGCCCTTACAAGCCTGTTCACTCGAGTACAAAATGTCGCGGCATTTCAAAGCTGAGGGAGGTACGCAGCTGCTGGATTTGGCAGCACTCTGAAAGCCCAAAACGCTCACACTAAGAAGCCTGCTATGTACTCACCCAGTTTCTCTATTCAGCCCTCTCGCGGCGTAAAATCGCCGTTTTACACTGCAGTGGTTAAATTTAAAGTCAGGACCGTGTGATATGACGTCACCGTTTTACGTTATCAGGCGTACTGCACGATATGTGACGTCATCGGTCTGACGTCACAAACTGTTGATCGGGAGTGGGAGATGGGATCATTAGTCAGGCGCTGCGTGGTGATGATATGTCACTGGTCATTTGTACTGACGTGTGAACATCAGTTGGGTAATGCGAATCGGTGTCATGAAAGCGTGCGAGTTGATAGACGTTACATTGGGTCACAACCAGGGCTGCGGAGTCGATGGATTTTCGGCGACTCCGACTCCGACTCCGACTCCGGCTTTCAAAAACCAGCTCCGACTCCGACTCCGACTCCGGGCAGAATTGTCGACTCCGACCGACTCCAACTCCCGACTCCGACTCCGCAGACCTAGCAGGGCTGCGGAGTCGACAGATTTTCGGTGACTCCGACTCCGACTCCGGCTCGGGTTTCTAAAATCGACTCCGACTCCGACTCCGACTCCGGTCACAACTGTCGACTCCGACCGACTCCGACTCCGACTCCGACTCCGACTCCGCAGCCCTGGTCACAACCTCATCGGAGTAGTTTATTTATTGCATCCTGTGCTACAAGCTACAGGTGTACGATATAACTTAACATGAAGCATGATCAGGAGGCGCAAGGAAACACGTCTACTTATTTAAATAAGCCAGCCTAAGTTTTCAATAATGACAACCTATTGATAAATGAAATGGATGAGATGAGTCATTCATGATATCGGGGGGCCTACAGAAAGCACTGGTTTTAACGGAACTCAATCAATTCATCAAATCGAAATTCTTTGGTTGCGCACGCGTGTAATCTCAAGATTTTGATACCCTCCCATAGTCCCTAAGCAAACAACACGTCTGGCAAGACTGAGTGCGTCACCCCGATCTGGGCTCTGGGGGAAAATAACAGCCTTCATCAGGGCCCTGGCGGGACGATCGCTCATCTCATACGCTCTGAAGACGACCCAGAGACTGTTTAGCCGCGACACAGTAGGTACCCAGAAGGACAAATAAATTGTGACTTGTTACGCTTGAGGGACACGCAACAAGACAGGTCAAGTGGTCATTTCAAGCTATGTGTTAACCCGGCAGTTGCTGGGGTATTTCGCCACCCACCGTTTGCTGGGGGGGGGGGGGGGCGTTAAACGCCCCCAGCCGATAACTCGAGAACCAATAAGCGCAGCGAAACGCACGAGGCGGCAAACGAAAGAACGCGACGAGACGCTTCAGATGCGTACTTTAAAGTTGAATTTTGAGGTCACAGGTCGGGTCAAGGTCAGGTCAAACACCTGAAATCGGGCTTTCAGTAGCATGGACTTCAGGACTTCGCAATGGGCGCCTCTCGTCATAAACTCTGTCAAAACGGTGCACAATCCATCATATAAGGCCTACAAGAGTGTCAGCTCCATGTAGGGGTCATTCAAGCATAGGTCAGGGTCAAGGTCAGGTCAACCGGGTAGGCAAATATCCCCGAAAATCAAAGCTGATATTCGCAGCCTGTGACACATGTTTTATGGGTGATTTGGGGCGTAGAACACGATGGTGACATTCATTTTATCATATGTGTACGTGTTTGGCTCAAAAAGTTCAATTTAAGAAATGCATGTGTCATGGTCGTGAAGAAGTCACGAGAAATTGCCAAGATTCAGTTGAAGATTTTGGAAAATGCGGAACGACAATCAATAATCGAAGATAGCCATTTGATTGTTCATGGTATTGGCAGTATAATGGCGTTCACGGCATGTCTGTATGTCTATTCTGTGATTTTATATGATTTTTTGAACATATGCCGTTTTTGGTCGAAAACTCAGAAATCATGACGTCACTAAAACCTCGATATCTCAAAAATTTTCCGACCGATTTTTTTGAAACTTTGTCACAATACACTTAAATCAGTTCCCTACAGGTACCCAAAATTTGGCGCGCCGCAGGCGCGCCGTTTTTATGCTATGGCCCGGCGAAAAAAGTGGGGGCGTTTAACGCCCCCCCAGCAACTCGCGGGTTTAAAGGAAATAGTTCACTAATGTATGACTTAAGAGTCATGTTACCTTTTCCTCAAGTTATAATGAATATGAAATAATATTTTCGGAGTTTCTTGAGTGATATATATTGAAAAATTGATAGCAAATATTTCGATACTCGTAGTGGTACCTTTTTCAATGCGAGTGATGCACAGTGCGAGCTTTGTTAAGCACAACAAAATAACACAATTCCCATGCAATCGGTGGAGCTGGGTCCTCCAGTGCAGATAAAATAACCTATACGATACCGCCTTCCTAAGAACTTATACAATATCACTGTCTATCACGGAATTTTAATTAAATATTTAGACCAAGCGCTAATTTAATAAAAAGAGCGTCACTTCAGTTACAGGTAAGTCACACTTACACAAGGTGACCCCCCCCCCCCTTTCTCGCGTGTTCGTTCAGCGTGCCAACCACTATTTTTTTTAGCACAATGTCCCATATTGGGCTCAGCTGGACGCCACCGCTGTCGAGATTCATTGACGGGCGCAGCTGTCGGATCTCGATGGCCTCCCTGATTTTACGTTTTTTCCAGTGGGGTTCGATGGCTAGGGTTCTCGCCTCGGACGGGTTCAAGTCACCGCCACAGGTACAAAAGTGTCTGGCCGTCGCTGACGTATCGCAGCGTCCGTGCTTGATATCGGCGGTGTGCTCCTTCAATCTGTCCTGTTTTGGTCGCCCTGACTCTCCGATATAGCTGGAGCCGCACGAGCACTTTATCTCATATACGGCCCCTTTCTTCTTGCTCTGCTCCACGGGATCTTTGACGTTAACCAGGTGACCCCTCAATCGCTTGGATTTGTGAGCTACCTTGATTCTGTGTGGCCTGAGAACCTTGGCTATCCTTTCGCTGAGACCTGGGACGTAGGGCACTGCCACATAGGCTTCTTGGTCTCTGGCGGCGGCTTCCCCCTGTACGGTCTGGCTGGCGTCACGGCGTCTCATAGCCCTCTTGATAAACGGCTCCGGATAGCCATTGGCTACGAACACATCCCGTATCTTGCTCTTCTCCTCCTTCACACTTGACATGTCGCTGCAGACCCGTCTTGCTCTGGCTTCCATGCATCTTATTAGACCAGCTTTCATGGCCGCGGGGTGGCTCGAGTTGTACTTCAGGTACACGTTTGATGCGGTCGCCTTCCGGTAGACTGAGGTGCCCAGCTGACCTTCTGACCTCTGGACAAGAACGTCCAAAAACGGCAGTTTCTGGTCCACCTCCCGCTCCAGTGTAAACTGGATACTTGGGCAGAAATCGTTCAACCGCTGGTGGAACTCTTGCAGAGCTTCATCGCCGTGGGGCCACAGGATGAAAGTGTCGTCAACATAGCGTCTCCAGAGTGTGGGCTTCAGAGTGGCGGATGTCAGGATGGACTGCTCCAAATGTTCCATATAGGCATTCGCCAAGACGACAGATAGGCTGAGCCCCATCGGAGCGCCCTCCTTCTGCTCGTAGAATGCACCTAGGCATAGGAAGTAGCGGCATTCCAAGCAGGCCGCTACTTCCTATGCCTAGGTGCATTCTACGAGCAGAAGGAGGGCGCTCCGATGGGGCTCAGCCTATCTGTCGTCTTGGCGAATGCCTATATGGAACATTTGGAGCAGTCCATCCTGACATCCGCCACTCTGAAGCCCACACTCTGGAGACGCTATGTTGACGACACTTTCATCCTGTGGCCCCACGGCGATGAAGCTCTGCAAGAGTTCCACCAGCGGTTGAACGATTTCTGCCCAAGTATCCAGTTTACACTGGAGCGGGAGGTGGACCAGAAACTGCCGTTTTTGGACGTTCTTGTCCAGAGGTCAGAAGGTCAGCTGGGCACCTCAGTCTACCGGAAGGCGACCGCATCAAACGTGTACCTGAAGTACAACTCGAGCCACCCCGCGGCCATGAAAGCTGGTCTAATAAGATGCATGGAAGCCAGAGCAAGACGGGTCTGCAGCGACATGTCAAGTGTGAAGGAGGAGAAGAGCAAGATACGGGATGTGTTCGTAGCCAATGGCTATCCGGAGCCGTTTATCAAGAGGGCTATGAGACGCCGTGACGCCAGCCAGACCGTACAGGGGGAAGCCGCCGCCAGAGACCAAGAAGCCTATGTGGCAGTGCCCTACGTCCCAGGTCTCAGCGAAAGGATAGCCAAGGTTCTCAGGCCACACAGAATCAAGGTAGCTCACAAATCCAAGCGATTGAGGGGTCACCTGGTTAACGTCAAAGATCCCGTGGAGCAGAGCAAGAAGAAAGGGGCCGTATATGAGATAAAGTGCTCGTGCGGCTCCAGCTATATCGGAGAGTCAGGGCGACCAAAACAGGACAGATTGAAGGAGCACACCGCCGATATCAAGCACGGACGCTGCGATACGTCAGCGACGGCCAGACACTTTTGTACCTGTGGCGGTGACTTGAACCCGTCCGAGGCGAGAACCCTAGCCATCGAACCCCACTGGAAAAAACGTAAAATCAGGGAGGCCATCGAGATCCGACAGCTGCGCCCGTCAATGAATCTCGACAGCGGTGGCGTCCAGCTGAGCCCAATATGGGACATTGTGCTAAAAAAATAGTGGTTGGCACGCTGAACGAACACGCGAGAAAGGGGGGGGGGGGGTCACCTTGTGTAAGTGTGACTTACCTGTAACTGAAGTGACGCTCTTTTTATTAAATTAGCGCTTGGTCTAAATATTTAATTAAAATTCCGTGATAGACAGTGATATTGTATAAGTTCTTAGGAAGGCGGTATCGTATAGGTTATTTTATCTGCACTGGAGGACCCAGCTCCACCGATTGCATGGGAATTGTGTTATTTTGTTGTGCTTAACAAAGCTCGCACTGTGCATCACTCGCATTGAAAAAGGTACCACTACGAGTATCGAAATATTTGCTATCAATTTTTCAATATATATCACTCAAGAAACTCCGAAAATATTATTTCATATTGAAATAGTTCACTTTTAACATGGGGTTTTGAGCTGGAATAGCAGTTTCGTAGCTTGAGCTGAGACTAGCACAAATCAGGAGCTTTTACGGCTCAACGATCACCCTAGACGAAGAAATTCCATTTCTCGTTCCGAAAAGAGTGCCTTGTAGAAGAATGCGTGCCTTGCACAGGAATGCAGCCACGTCATCGTCAGCCAATCAGCGTGCTGCTTACAGCCAATGCAGTATTCGTAGGTTTGAGCTACGCAATATGATTGGTCAATGCGCAATAAGCTTCCGCGTCAAACATTATTTTACATAGAATATAGTTCGCCCTATATTAAAATAAAGAAAATAATTGTTTTTACAAAAAGGTTTTATTTTATTTCATGATTATTTTGAGCATAAAAAATCATAAATCAATAGCAAAATACTGATTTCAGGAAAGTGGACTGTTTCCTTTAATCAGTTTTAGGAGACGGATGAATAAGCCACGATTTTCGAATTATTCGACAATGGTAGACCAATTCAGCGACAACATTCTGTGCCCGCTATCTATGGACTTGTCGCTTGCCTGCAGCTGCAGTTACTGTTGAGAAGTTGCTGTACTTACTGTGAGCGTTCCAGGCCCCAGCAACTCTGCATGGGACCCGTCTTCACATACATTTATCTAGATTTCACAGAATCGACATCTCATCACTGTCCAATTCATTCGTTTAACTCGATTATCCCCCGTCTCATATAGCTGGGCCTGCGGTGTAATACGCGTGCCGGTCCCGTGGGGATCCCTACTCCGGCCGACCCATTTAGCTACTCGGAGGTCATCGAACGCTTCTCAGCACGCGCCTTATGATGCTTCCTTGAAGTCGAGTCGGCCCCCTCGCTTGCAGTGGAAGGGATGTGTGACGTCACGTTGATGACCTGGCTTGGCCTCCACAAGTGCCTTGGAGGTAAACGGAATATTCGAGCGGGAAGGGATGATGACGATAGGTTCGCTGAATGGGGAGACTAATGAGAGACGTGATATGATTTCTCATCGGGTCTTCTTCCTTCCTCGCATCTCTCCCTCTTCTCTCTCTCCCTCCCTCTCCCTCTCCCTCTCTCTCTCTCTCTCTCTCTCTCTCTCTCTCTCTCTCTCTCTCTCTCTCTCTCTCTCTCCATTGCCTCACGTCTTTTCTACATCGTCCTCCTCCTCACAGGCTCATATCAGATTGTCTCTCTTGGGACAAATCCTACAGGTTTCAGCTCTCTGCCCCCGTCCAGTACCCCCCTCCCACGATCGCTCGCCCGGACAGGACGTAGTTCACCAATCCCCCGCCACGCGGCACTGAGGCTGCTCGGTCCAGTCAGCAGTAGCTCAGGCGGCAGCGACCGAAACGCTCCCAGTCTGTGGATTCGACGCGGGGTGTTCTGTGCCGCGTGCTCCGCTGTGAGGTGATCGGCGTGGAGCCTCGGGTGCTCCTTACAGTGCTCTGTGAGAGTGCTGAGAGCACTGAGACTGGTGTCACTGGACAAAGTGTCGGTTTTGTTTACCTACGTTTGATAGTGAAGCCACCAGTTGCATTCTACGGAGACCCTGTGTGATCTTATGTGACATTTGGTTTACGTCGCATGACATAAGCGGTAAAATTACCAACACATGGACAATAATAGCAAAGCGGCACTGCGTCTGGCAATGACTGTCATCGGAGTCACTCTTGACCGCATCACGAAAAAAGACCACCGTTCAATAGTTGTCTACCTGGGTCGCAATATTGGCCGCCGCCACTGACCATCGCCTGACAGCTACGGGCAGGGATGTACTTTGTCCCGTCATTAGTAACGACATATGAGACAAGATCGACGGAAGACCAACGGAGACAGGAGCTTGTCTCTCGGAGGCAATCAGTGTCTCACGTGGGGCGAGTGACGATCGATTGGTGACCAGTTGGTGATTGTTTGGTGATGTTATTATCACTGTTGGTGGTGATGTGGTGACTACTCAGGAGGGGAGTTGATAGACATTAGATGTTGGTGGATGTTCAATGTCCATCAGCTCGATGGACAAGAGCTCGTGCAAATTGTATGGACCGGAAAACACAGGTATTGTGTACAATGAACTGTACGACAGGCTTCATGAACCGGACAGGACAAGTTATGCAAACTAAAGAGGACATGCTGAACCAGGAACTGGCAGGCTAACTGCCTGAGTAACCTGTAATGAGGTTGATTTGATCATGTGTCTGTCATCTGATACTTTCTCGTTTGTTTGGATCAAGTTTTGACGGTGCTGAATCGCTCGTCGAGCTTCATTGCATTGTCAGCTTTGGAGGTTTTGAAGTTCGATGCCTTAGTACGGCGCGCTAATCAAGACTGATGTGAAGTGATTATGCGCAGCTGACGTCGACTGACGGTTTACCGTCACACACGGTCACCAATCATCAATGACGCCAGTTTCAGAGAGGACGCTCACACCAGTCCCCGTCCATCTCCTGGTGAAGTTGGTGCCACTGCTGTTAATGATGACTATACCGGTGGTGATGACGCTACCAGCGACCGTGTCCTCTCGGTCCAGTGGACACCTGAAATGCTGCCCCTCCGGGGAGGCTCTGGTACGAGACGGTGACCAGGGGGAGCCCGTCTGTGCTCCCGCTCCTCTCGACTCGCATACACTGCGTCATCTTCATCACACCGCCTGGAGGAAACTGCTGGATCAAGCGACTGGCGACCTCAGCTCTTCGGTTAAACATGCTACCCGCTACCGGCGTGAGGTGCCGGGATCATCCGCGAGGGGCAGCTCTTCCAACAACGCTGTCTACGAGACCGATCCGCCTCCGCCGCCTCCACCGGCTCATGGAAATCTCAGCTGTGCGCGAGGTTACTTCTGGCTGACCTCTGACCTCCCAAGTCAGAGTTTCTCGCTACTCTTGGACGGCGCTCTCCGCCGCGGGGACGCGAGGTACCCCGTCGGAGGTCACTGCTCGGATCTCTTACTAGACAGCGGAGGTTACCAGATACCGACTCTAGCCGCGAGGGTTTGCCACATCCCACTGCTGGGTGCTGCCGGAAAACTCACAGCGGCTGAATCCGCAGTCCGGTGTGGGTCGGCGAGGCGTTGTTTCCGCAAGTGCTGTCCGAAAGGGATGCTGATCCAACGCAGCGGACTCCGCTGTGTTCCGGCCGAGTCTCCCTGGACGCCGGTGTTCCACCGCGAGGAGAATCCACTGTTAGATACTGAGCCTGTCCGCCTGGTAACTGGTGTACCGGCGTGTGCTGAGCCCGGGGAGGAACCGCGAGGGGTGTTTCCACTAGAGCCTGACCGCCCACCACCGCAGCGACCCGCGAGTGAAGGCAGTTCCTCACAGGCAACAGACAAGACTGAGGCTCATGCCAGCCCTTCAGGGTCTGAAGAGGCCTCACGCCCCCATCCGGATCGGTTCTTTTTACAGGAGGATGGTCAACTGTTGGCGCCCGAGCAGGCTATGATACCCGCTGGAGAGTTTTGTGTCGATCGGGTTCTGTATGAAGAGTGTGATGAGGAGCAGGAGACCGATCCCTCCCCCACTCCTGAGCCCAGCGTGAGCTCCACCAGTTCCGCGGACAATGCAGACGAATCTACAGTAAGGTATAGGACAAAGAGGCGCAATGTGGTCACAGGTGGTAATCGAGCAGTCAGAAGTCGCGAAAGAAGACATCAACATCGGAAGAGCAAGACGTCAAATCTTCATCATTCGACCCTCCACAACATTCATCGAAAGCAGCGGGTGCGGCGTGGGGGTACAATCTCCTCCGAACTCACCATGTTATCTTCCATCCCAAGAACGGCTCGCTCCGTCGCCTCACCCCACGGAGGACCCCGCCCTCGTCTAATGGCCGTTCTCTGCTACCCTCGTCCTGCCGCCGTGCCTCGGCCCGGTCCTCCCACCCTACTGACCGTTCTCCAGACGTGCTCGGCCGTGGGCCTGCTGGGGGTGCTGCTGGTGCACCTGCTGGTACCAGCGCTGCGGAACCAGCACGGCAGGTGTCTGGTGTCTCACGCGGCGGCGCTGTTGGTGGCGCTGGGATGTCTGATGGCGTCTTCACGGCCGGCGGTGTACTCCAGGCTGGAGCTCTGTCAGGGCGTAGGTGAGTACCCATGGGAAAATGGGAAAAGGGTTATCCCTCTCTCTCCCGACGGCTGCTGTACTCGAGGCTGGGGCTATGTCAGGGGATAGGTGAGTTCAAATGGGGAATGGGGGATGGGGAATTCCCCGACCATTGGTGTACTCGAGGCTGGGGCTATGTCAGGGCGTAGGTGAGTAAATATGGGGAATGTGGGGTAGGGAAATAAGGGGAATATCTTCTCTCGACCGGGAGTGTACTCGAGGCTGTAGCTATGTCAGGGGATGACAAGTTCATATGGGATGATGGGAAATGCGTTGAAGTAAAAAAGGGATTCATTACAATTGTCTGTGTCAGGGTATATAGTTCGGGGAAGATGGGGGAATCGGGTGATGGGATGTATGTAGAATACAGAGGTGGGTACGGTTTGCTGGCTGTATGCACGTTCTTGTGTTATACTCATTTATCTGCGTTTCCATTGTCAACTGATCAAGTTTGTGCACTGACGATTGTCCGAAAACCTTCAGCAAACTCCAGTGCGAGCAGACCTATTGTGCTTTTCGGTGAAAGTAATCTATCTTTATTTCGTGCAGTAGTGAATGGTCAGTTTTATTGCGCGCAATATCCGTTGTGTCTGAAATTGGCCAGGTGGCTAGAATGAATGACGTAAATGGTATGGGGAAGAGGTGTTAGTGCGCCATTCATTCTCAAAATGAAAGGCACTGGCGGATTAATGGTTAATGCTCGGCTGCTGCAGTCTTGCAGATATATCTTCACCCATGATTTCGCTCAACATTAATTCATTTCACTAAATGACGGGAGCATTTCAAGCCATTCGCCAAGGCCCCCGCTACACAGATTGGTGTCAGTGTTGTCCTTAGGCAGTGAACGCATTAATTTTCTAGCCGAGGCATTACGCGATGTGTGACAAAGTCGTTCTGACGTCTCATACCGCGCTCAACGCAGTGACAATTCAGGCCTCCAAAGGACAGTAATTACATACGTTCAAAACATCGCACGCAATACCGCACGATACATTACTTTTCAAGGAAGGCACGCTATAACGGTACCGTGCCGAGGAATGCGCAGCCACTGCGCCGATGTACCCCAACTTGTGATCAATATTCATGGGGTGTGTTCACTCGGAACTTTGACAAGTTCGATACATCAGTCACATCCATTTGCGGCATTTATTTTTGCAGCTGTTTACATATTTTACCAGAATGAGCGTGTAGAATTCCTGAGAAGGTGCTGTTATGGGGGCGATACTTTGATCTACTGACAAAAAAAGGTCTGCTGTGGTGTGACGTAATAAGTAACCACTGTCTTTCCTCTGTTTACAGGTCTTCTGATGCACTTTTCGTTCCTGGCCTCCTGTTTCTGGCTGAACGTGATGAGTTTCGACATCTGGCTCACATTTAGGTGAGGGAACTCAGCATTTGGCTCGCAGTAGGTAATTGACTTTGACTACCTAGGTATAAAGCCTAAGGCTTCTGTCGCTTTAGCTGTCGACAATATTCATCCGGCATATGTTGTCGTTTAGCGTTAATACCTACTTTGAAAGCCGTTCTAAATCTGCACCGGTCGTTCATCCAGGGCCTCCGCATTTCACGACTAAGTATGTTCCGGTTTATAACAAATATCAGGGGTAGCCGTTGTCCCATGTTTGGGCTATTCTATCATCGGGCCATTTAGTTTTTTTTTTTTACTGACATGAATTTTGGTAATATTTTTAATGGACGCGATTTTGGCTGTTATCTTATCTGTTAATTATTCCTAATGATGTATCTTCTTATTCCGAACAAGTCTGCCTTGACTTGCAGTAATATTAAGGCGATGATGAAATAAAACACTTTTCTATTTTTCCACAAGCATGCTCTCGCCCCGGTGACGACATCACTGCTGGGCAAATTCGGCAACAACACATCCCAATTCCATATCAGCCTGACGTTATTCGGCACATCTCCGAAATGCCGGCCTCCGGACCCTCATTTCCGCTGCCGCATAACTGCGAGTCCACCAGTTTGGCACTGCCTGCCTTGTGGATTTGGTGGAAAATATCTACCAGTTTGGCACTGTCCGTCTCTTTGGATTGGGATGGAAAGAGTCCACAGTCCACCAGTGTGTAAAAATGTCCGGCTCGTTCGACGGAATGGACACCTCATTACACACAATGTCAGTCAACTCTCGCTCCGTAGAACGCACAGCCTTTCCATGTTAACTGCAGTGGCTGTTCTACGACGAGCGCCAGTCGACTGGGCTAAATGGTCACACCCGGTGACATATAGGTAGCCAATTCCTGGAGATTTTTAGAGTGCTGTTTCTCAACGGGACATGTATGTATGTAGGACGATGAACTGTGCAGTAAATCTTTTGAAGGTTACGTTTTATTGGAGCTCGGGAAACGTGTCGCAAATTGTTAGCGTCGTCTTTAGTATACGTGTGGAGAATTTATCTCAAATTGCTCAGTGAGGAGTGCTTCTGTTAACCCGCGCCCCGCTGGGGGGGGGGGGGGGGGCAGAATCTGCCCCCTCCCGTTTTTCGCAAATTACTTCTAAACGCGTTACGCCAGCGACGTCAAACTTTCAGTACCTTATTATACCTCAATTTGACACGTTCCCTGAAATTTTGAGCGAAATCCGTCGGAAACTTTTTGAGAAATTGACGTTTTAGTGACGTCATGTTCGCCATTTTCGCCTCAAAAAACGGCAAAATTTCAAACGCCGCTAACATCTTCACTTTTAAAGGAATCAAGACGTAACAAAAAGGTTATACGTGATTCTACTTTGTCTATCAAATGGTTATCTCGGTTTTTTGAAAATTTTGGATTTGGGCCCAAATTTAAAAAAAACTGACTTTTTTGGAAAAATAATTATAAAATCCAAAATTTTGAGTGTATCGAAAAAACCGAAATATATGTCAGAGAAGTGGTCTATGTGCACCTACATACCAATTTTTAGAAGAATCGGTTAAAAAATGTGGGAGTTATTAAAAATTTTATAACGTCACGACACACAAATTTTTTGAAAAAAATGAAATTTTTGGAAGTTCTAAACCTCGTACGGAAACAAAAATAGCACCATTCGATTCGCCGTGAAAAACTGCATCAGATAGACACCTTTTTAGGCCTTAACAACCAACTTCAAAATTTGACCTCACTTGACCTGACCTTGACCTGACCTTGACCTGAAATTCATCCAGAGGTGGTCCAATCACTTATTGAGTGTGCCTTTTGAATTCTATGAGTAAAATGACCCATAAAACATGTGTCGCACATGCCCTTTTCTATATTTTGTTTTTGGTGACCTGACCTGACCTTACCTGACCTTGACCTTGACCTTGACCTTTGAATGACATTGTATGCAACGAATATTGTCTTGGTAGTCTAAGAACACGTTTTGGGCAATCAGTCTCAGTGCATTCTTCGGCAACTACGGTGCAAGGCCGATACTGTAGAAACATGCATTTTGTACCCTTGACCTGACCTTGACCTGAACTCTGACCTACTATAGCAAAAAAATTTGGGCTCTTAAGATCCGCCTTGTTGAGAGCTTTCGATTGCCGTTTTCCCCGTCTTCCTGCGACCATCGGTTCGGAAGTTAGACAGGGGGGGGGGGGCAGAATCTGCCCCCCCCCCCCCAGCAGGGCGCACATTCACTAACTTTGAAATGCGGTCAGAAAATGTCTCGACTTCAGTAGAGTTTGTCATAGGCGCTCAATGTATTTTCACTCAGAATGGATAAGTTTACCGACAATCTTATTTTGTCTGCTTAGCTTGCATGGCAACAAGTTTTCAATAGTCTGAGCTATCTCCGCGATGAAAATTTCCGATTCCGCGGCTCTATGGAAGCTTCTGTATGATTCGCTATTCATTACATCAGATAGGTTGATATTGTAACGTAGCTTATCTATAAATTAGCGTTAACTATCGATAACCTCAAAATCTTGTCCACCAATCACAGACACTAACCAACCTTCCACTAACATCTGCCAGCAGCTTGCGCACAGCTCCCGACCAATCACCGCCCTCGTTCCGTGTTCATTCGCAGTCGTCTGCGCGCCGCTCCATCCCGGACCAGCCAGCAGCGGGAGCGGTTCGTCCGCTACTCGCTGTACGCGTGGTGTTCACCACTCCTGCTGACGCTGCTCACGGCGCTGATGCAGTTCGTGCCCGGGGAACAGCCGCTGCTGCCGCCGCCCGGGATTGGACGGGTCAACTGCTGGTTCCCAGGTATGGATGTCTGGTCAACTGCCGGGGTTAAGGTATGAGTATTTTGTAGAATCAACTGCTGGTTCCCATTCAGCTGCTGGTTTCCAGGTATGGATAGAGGGTCATCTGCTGGTTCCCTGGTATGGTTATGTCAAGTGCAGGGACAAAGGCATGGACAGAGATCAACTGCCGGTTCCCAATCCCATGTATGGATAGAGGGTCAACTGCTGGTTCCCAGGCATGGTTATGACTTATGTCAAGTGCTGGGATAAGGTATGGACAGAGAATGAACTGCTGGTGGTTGTAAGGTTTGAATATTTGATAACCTTACCGGCGATTTCCTAATTATGGATACTCGGTGGGCCATCGGGCATGGACTTTGGCAACGGCGCATGCATCTTTATTGCTGAGTCGGTTACTGATAATTGATTATCTTTCACGGCGAATTGCGAGAAACAGGAGCAAGTAAATGCGCCATTAAAATTAGCTGTCGTGTTGATCGGTGGCCCGAAATCCGTTTGTAATACGCGCATTATTTTTTGTTATTGTGTCTCGAAGAAAGTATAAGATCTTTGAAATAAAAGTCCGAACCTCTACAATTAACTCGTGATTTTACAGCTGACTCCTCACAGGACTCTGGCTTATTGCAAAACGTCTATCATTGGTTTTCGTAGGAGAGCAATACGCACTATCAAAGAGTTATCTGAAAAGAGACTCATTTCGTAATTCCTACGCTACTTAACCCTCGCCCTGGCAGGGCATTTTTCATAACACGGCCTGGCAGGGGGGGGGGGGGGTCGATGCGACCCCCCCCCCCTGGCGATTGGCTTCTATGGCACCTAGAAACACCAAATTTGGTAGGTAGGTGGGCCCCCTGGAGTTCTCGCCCCTGTGCAAATTTGGTTGCTCTAGGTCAATATTTAGGGGGGGGTTTGGGGGGTATAAATGTAAAAATTTCGCTAAAAACAGGTCAAAAGTTTTTCGCTTATAACTTTTGATCTAATTAAGATAGAGCAAAAAGAAAAGCACCAGTGAACTCAGCACGTCAAGGCGCGTCGAATGAAATACTTTTTAGCTTGCTTAAGTGTACTTTAAGTTTTTCTTAAATTTTAAGTAAACTTATTTATAAATTATGTTTAAGTTAACCAAATTGCATCATATCGCATATCATTCGATTCGGCTGATCACCAGGAACACAATGATACCATTTTTAAGCTCTAGCGTCATTATGTGCCAAGTTATTGGCAAAAACGTCATTTGACCTCAGTTGACCTCATTTGACCTGACCCATGCATAAGTACACCAAACAAAGAAGCACCAAGTGACCTGCTGTTAAGTACTGTGGTTTCAAAGCACAAAAGTGATGGAACGAACCGGATATCTCCAGCATTTTCCGAATTTAGTATTTTCCCATAGGCTTAACATTACGACGTAATGACCTCTAACTGACCTCAGGTCAGTGACCTCAAAAAACCCGAACTATATGTTATACAACTCGGTGAAATTAGCACATCCTGAAAGTTTGAAGGAAATCAGTCCAAAACTGTGAGTTGGACAGGTGCAAAAAGAAAATTGAAATTTGACCATGACCTTGTACCGGTTTTTCTGACCTGGTGACCTGACCCTAGGTCACTCGGACCTGAAATTTTCAGGTCATATGTAAAAAGGTTGCCCCATAGGCTGGCCAAATTTGGCGGCGCTGCTCGCCGCCGTTTTTACGCTATCTTCGAAAAACCTTAGGGGAGGGTCGCATCGACCCCCCCTGCCAGGGCGAGGGTTAATCTCAATGAATTTCAACTCCCGACATCACACCATCGTCGATAAAAATTCAAGGCACATAGCCCCCGCTTTAACTCCTGAATAATTCGCCACCCACGGGTTGCATGCATTACACCTTTGAACATGGAGATCCATCATTAATGTTCACTTCAAGACTGGTTTTCACTTCATCCGTTTTCCGGCTGTCTTGTGAGAATGACTAGCTCATTGTTCATCTTCACTCACCGTCCGTCTAAACGGTGACGGATTGGAGACAAAGTGTCCGGTAAAGGCGTGCAGAGAGTGAATTAATTTGACTATGGCGGTGTGAGGGCGGCGATGAAGGAAGGAGGCTGGTAGCTGGTTCTTCTTTTTGAGTTCCCGGTGGTTGCTAGGTGGTCTCATGGTGAGGAACTCTGAATGTGGCCGCTTTTTATATCCTGTAATATATAGAACAATTTTGACGATGAGTTTCAATAGATTAGTGATTTCAGCTACAATACAATAGGGTTGGGACCTATCTGCATGCTCTGTATGTTTTGGTAAAATAAGAAAGCTCAGAATTTTTAATGATTTAATTTAAAATCATTTTGTTAAAAAAATGCCTAGTTAGCTCAGAAATTAATTATTTGTGACTGAAAACAACTTGCTTCTGATTGGTCGGGCTAATCATGACGTCACATGTAGGTATATAACTGTCTGTATATTTGGCGCAGTTGAGACATACATTTTCTATGCATTTCCCTATGGTAAATCGGAGTGCTTGGTCGTGTTTTCAGTGTCTCTTTATTTTGCGCTGGCATTGCGTGGCTAAGAAGTTTTATCAATAATGGCATATACTAAAATGTTATAAAATATAATTAGATAAATAAAAGAAGTTGACCTTTTCCTCGACATCAAAAATGTAAAAAGCCTAATATTATATTAAAAAAAAACGGTTTAAAAAACCGTTTTTTTTTAATATAATATTAGGCTTTTTACATTTTTGATGTCGAGGAAAAGGTCAACTTCTTTTATTTATCTAATTATATTCAATATGTTCCTCGCTCGAGCACTTAGTAATAATACTAAAATGTTCCTTTAATAGTGGAGCTTCAATATCTGTGAGATTTATTGGCAAGTGAAAACTGATTTCGCTATTATTTTATCTGGAAATTACTCATTTCTTAGGTCAATATTCAAAATATTTTACTGGAACAAGTTGACACTTGTTCTTGATTTTTGCACTCAGATCGCGTGCGACTCAACTATATTGGGACTTGCAAAGAATCTTGCTGATTAATTAACTGTGTTGTTATGGCACTGTTTGCAAAGCATGGATAATGAAACTGTGCTACATAGCAATGCCTCAAGTACCTAATAAGCAGGAGGGACAGAATTCAGAGTCCAATCGAGAAGAATCGGTGCAAATGCTACGAGGACCAGGCAGCTCTGATACGATGGCTAGTCGTCTCACTCCATTAGACCAGCTGATTCCTGACAGCACCGACTCGGATACAAAGATGGAGCTCATCTTCCAAGCCAGAAACCAGTTCTTTGATGGAAGATGTGATGCTGCCTCTGTCTCTGCTTTGTTGGCCACTTTGGACGGGACCGAGCTCCGCTCCTTGCGTGAGGGGCTGGCTATTCGCCTGTCATCCAGAAATAGTTCCTTCGTCTGCTGGCAGTTCCCTGATCAGGTGCAATACCGGGAACTGTAATAAGGGAAGTAACTTTCCATATGAAAGGGGTGCAGGTGCACCCCATCCACTAGAAATGCACCCCCATTAACCCTATTAGTGGCAGGCTCCTGGCTACCCCATATTAGTGGCAGGGGGGGCTGTTTACGACCCCCCTTGATATCTCGAGATCTAACCGGCCGATTTTCAAAATTCAAACGGCATTCGATTTGGCTCAACGAGATCTACATTTCTAAAAAAAAAAAAAATGTCAATAGGGGGGTAGAGGGGGGTAAAAACGGGCAAATTGCAGATACATTTTAGACTGTTTATCACGGCCAGGTTTCTGAACCAATCTTAACGCAACTTTTGCCGATCGATAGAGAATGAACCAGGAATTCACATGGATCCTAAAAATATGCATTTTCAAAAATCATAGGCGGATACAGATCATTGAGATTGGGGGTACACAAAAAGTATAGTAAATAAGGTTTTTGTTGGTACTGTTTCTAAAAAGGGTGGCAATGGTCTTGTTATGTTACAATTTTCTTATGAGAGAACGACTAAAATTGTATTGGTCATGCATAGGCGGTGTCAGGGCACCTATGTTGGGAGGTAAAAAATAACCCCCCTTTTTGGACGCCTGGATCCGCCTATTATAGCAAAAACGTGTCAAAAGAGGATGCACAATAACTTTGTATATGTTATCACATGATACCTTTCATTCGCTGTTCGTAAAACTGGTGCAGCATCGTGATCTTCGCCCAAATGACGCTTCACGAATAGGACCCCCAATTCCCAGTGCTCTGGAGCCGCCCCTGGTAAAGTTATGAACTTGAAATTTTCAGGGAATGTGCCCAATTTCGTTTTAGGAAAAGTCAGAAAATTTCAGCATCGTAGCTTCAGCGGTTTCGGAGATATTCCCGAAAAACCTGAGGGGTGGATAAAAACAACCCCCCCCCCTGCCACTAATAGGGTTAAGTCAAAGTGCACCCCCATAGGCTAAGCGGCGCCCCACACGCCGCCCAATACCAATTAGCTCTAGAGCAGATGGCGAGGGTGATTTCCCGGCTACATTCCATCTCGGCGTCGTGATGCTTGCGGGCTTGGGAAGCGTCCAGTCGTATGTAGGAGTTTGGTAGTTTTTTATTTAACTTGTGGTATGTTGTGCTGATTGCGGGTTGAGTTTAATAAGGCCCTCACATTTGAAAGGTTTGAACAACCCGCAATCAGCACAACATACCACAAGTTAAATAAAAAACTACCAAACTCCGCCCTACTAATGTTAATAAATATACAAGCTTTTAGAGCCAAACTAATGGCCTAAATAAAAATATATCTCAAATCATAACCGTTATCGCGGGTGATGGCGCCATGATTTGCTATTATCCAAAACGAATGCAAAATAAACATGCTTGTATGTTTTATGTATGTATGTTTGTTTCAAAAACGTTGCAGCGGCGCTGGGGACTGCAGTCTTAGATCTGGGTATGTTTGGCATCTGCAACTCTTGATATACACATTAACCCTATTTCGGACGGGGGAGGCCTTTCAGGATTTTCTTGTGCAATTGTAAAACGCCGCGAGACATTCAGCTCATATTTG